GGAATCGATGTCGGGTGGCAGATGGGGATCTGATCAAAGTAAGTCAATCTGAGTACCGATGCTGACCATGTTCTCGTGATCGGTGAGGGGAATCGCCTCGATAGGTACATCCGATGGAGCTCGGCTGGCGAGAAACACTCTGCGAACTGAAAAGGGCCATGCTTCAGATGCTCCTCCTGCATTCGCTGATCCGGTACTCGGAGTCCGCATGCGGCTAGCGATTCCGATGAGTTGATTTCTTTTGATTTGACATACGTCATGTCTAATTTAATTAGACAAAACTTCCTCTGAACGGTTCTGCCGGCGCCACTGGAGCCGTGAAACTGGTGTCCTTGAGTTCAACTCCCCCGAAATCCTCTCGGGGGGACTGTCGCAGTGATCCCGCAGTGAATCAACTAGATCACGAAAATCGACGCGAAGAGGTTCCCAGAACGCAGAATCGGCACTGAAAATAGCTGAAGAATCTTCATCCCCCGGACGGAATTGGCTAAGCGGGCGCGGATGTTCGCAAGGGTCCCGGGAAAGTCCAGTTGTCCTCCGTTTCGGATCGGGCACAGGCCCCCCTAATACTTTTAATTAACTTTTCTTCGTCTATCCTCATCTCCCTCACCCAGACCTCTAACACTAGCTCTACGGATGGTGAGATCTTGAATTCGACACTCAGGAGCTTGCGAAGGCAAGGAGCTCCATCGCCAGTGATAGTGCAACAAGATAGGGCTCACATCCTTCCTGTTCGCTCTGCCTGCTGCCAGCTTCTTCATCTACCTCCTGTTCGTTTGCCTCTCATGAGAACTACTCGCGCTTCTCCTCGGATTCCGCCCGCCGGCTCGGTGAGAAGCAAAATGGAAGTGGTCTCCCGGCAAGCTTTTTACCATTCCTTGTGGCTGGCTCCTCGGTCTTCCTCTTGCCCAACTCCTTGATGTTCCGCCGTGCGTGGTCCCGAACCGCGACCATAGGGGAGGGGAAACGGATGGGGCGCACGGGCAGGTTACGGGCTCGGAGGAACTTGCCATCCGTTCCGCACTGTTACTGGGTGTTGGTGGCACATATTGCGCTTATTGGTTGACCAGACGAGCCGAACGTCTACTTACCGCTGTAATTTGGCTTGATTGATTTGCCATGGCAAGCCGCAGCCGTCGCTGCAGCCGGTGTTACCGCCGCCGATGCTCAGCCAGCTAGTGAACGAGCTTGATCCGACCAGGAAGCATTCTTCGACCAAGTGGAAAGCGGATCGCAGATAGAGTAGCGAATGGGATGAGGTATTTGCTAGTCTGGCTGACCGACCGACCGTTCTGTCGAGCCGACGACCGACTCGTCTCGGCCCAACTCGAGGCTCAAACCTTCTCGGATCAGCTGACCAGACCCAACTGGTTACTCGGGGAACAGTTAATCCCTGCGAAAAGTTTCGGTGACATTCACGAAGCCTCCCTGTCGCCATTTCCTTACTTGTCCTTAAGTTTCTTAATAAATAATATCGATGGGATTCGCCCACTCGCCTCCTTCCTCGTTAGGATGGATGAGCGGATGGGACGAGTCGACCGACTCATCGGTGAGGGGACGTAACGATCCTGGCGAATCGGATGCTGGCTAAAGCAGGGAAAGCCCCACGTGAAACTCCGCGATGATGCGAGAGCGACCCAGGGTCATACTCTTTTGGACGCGAAGTCCGCCTCGATCAAGAGTACGCTCTCGAACTGTCGTCCCATTCAGGGGTTCCCACTTTGAGGCGGGATCCCGACACCGAAGCCACGAGTTGCACTTGTTTTCGATCATGCATCGGCCTCCCGTATCATAAGAACCCTCAAAAAGCAGTCGTCCTACGGCAACTTCGATTTCTTCGAGTGATGGACGCGGGATCGCGACTTAATCTTGACGGGTCAGCGAAATTGAGAACAATTCCCACATGACCCCCCGACCCTGCTAATCACGCAAAACTGAGAAGCGATCATTCGGGGGAAATCGGCCTGCGCTGGAGCACGCCAGCGATGTCTCGACAGTATAGTGGTGTGAGACCCCAGATCTCGCGGAGCTGACGTAGATAGCAAACCATGTAGATACCAATCATGACTTCATTCGACGCGTCAACAATCAATCAGGCTAGGCACCGATCCCATTGCTTCGCCCAGCTCAAGCTCGGGAAGATTCGTGACAACACGAAGGCAGCTGCATATTATTTCCATGACCTGGAGGAAACCATTCCACAAAACCCGCCGAAGAGCTTCCGCGTTCGTCGGGGGTCCCGCGATGCACGTTTCCCAAATCCATGAAATATTCAAACCTGACGAAACTTTCGTTCAGCGGGATGAGCTCCGATACGGATACGTCAAGCTGACGTCGGGCTGCCGACCTCGAGGAAAATGCTCCGAGTAAACTTTCCAGATACATTTGCTCCTCCCGCGGAACAGAATTCCCGAGTGCTTCGTGGATTTCCTCGAGGGCTGCTTGTCAACGCACCAGAGTACACGCAAACTGAAGATACTGACAGCTCGACCTTCACGGACGACGAAAAACTCTGGATATTTCTTTCCATCTCGAAGCGATCCGAAGACGGGGTCGTGTCGCAAGCGCCAGGAAGCGAGGAGGCGAGAGCTCTAGCTCACTTGTTTCTCTGAGGCCGAAATAATCCTTCGTGGGATGCGTCTGTCCGTGATTGAAACTTTTCAGCAGCCTGCCCGGACGAGGAGTTCCCTCGGGTTCCTCCCCGGAACGATCTCGGTTTGCCGGGTTTGTGGGGCCTCTCAGCTCTCATCTGCAGGTATTATTATTACCACCATCATTACCATTATCATTATTATCATTACCATTTCCCTCCAACTAAATGTCTCGTTCGGAGAAGGATACAGCCTAATCTCGAGGAAGGAATGACTCAATGCGTGTCCATTGAGGCGGGGGCGGATGGATGTCTGAGTGAGTTCTCTCAAGGGTCTTGCGCGTCGCTCTTCGGGTCCGCTACCGACATAACCTGACATACAAAAACTCGACTCCGATTGATTCAATGGGAGAATTTCAACTGCATATAAGGGAAGACATTGTCTGCGGAATGGTGAAAGTGATGAAATATTTCTGTTGGTGGGCTCCGAGGCTCGAGACTCAATCAGATGGATAGCCGCGAGGAATTCTCCCGGAGCATGGCTCCGCCTCGCAATCGTCCCTAGAACTCTGTTCCTAAATTCATTCAATACTACTTCCCCGGATCTTGACCCCACATCTAATGCTGTCGTCCTGACGTAATCTCCGCTCGCAAAATTCGATGCGTCGGAAGTCCGGGCTCCGGGAGGTCTCACCTATCATCCAGGAGCTCCTCACTGCTCGGCATGGAACAGCTGTCGCTCTCTTAAACAGTCCCTCTTCCCAACCTCGATATTGGAATCTTGACGGGGAAGCGACGAATTCCGGGATTTCATCCGAAATTCGAGGGTATGGAGAAGATTATAGGTAGGGCAGGACCGATACGCTTCGATTGTGAGCGAGGAAGAATATTCCGACGCGTGAAATTCGATGCATAGCTACATGGAGACATAGTTGGGTGTCAGTACAAGGGAATCCCGTCATAGTGCGCCTCAGGGAACCGGCGGGAAGCGCCCACTGTGAGCGGGATTCCATCGGAACAGAAATAGGATGTAGTGGAGGTTCGGACCGGGGATATCGTACACGATAAGCGGAATCGCATTGGACGCGAGTCCAAGATCGCGGGACTCAACTGAATGAGCGAATCGTAGGAATGCGGGAGCGGTCAACATCCTGAGGTCGCAGTGGCTTGGTCGGGGACAATTCCGCGCCGGAGAAAACCATCATGGACAGTTTTGGATGCATTTCGACGATTAATCGAAGAAATGGACGAAGCTGGCGATCTGACCCACTCAGGTAACATATAATCGTCTTTCCCATCGCATTCACGGATATTTCTTTCATTGTTTCATATATCGTTCCCCACAAAGAGAGACAAACCATTCGCAATGCGAAGCACCGATCGTTCCCATCCGGAGCCGAGAGCTCCATTCGAGACACTATCGTCTTCTCCTCCGAGTAGATCCATTAGGGGATTTACTGAAATAATATGATGACCCACACAATAATCTCCTGAGCGCTAATGAAAAATCGCCTTCTCCTCGGAACCATTGCGGATTGAGGAATATTATCGGGGACAGTGGAGTCTGTTTCGAGTCTTGAGCTAGCTCGACAAAGACCCTGCTCGATCGGTGTCCCGAGAAGCGTATGTGTATGTGTACGAATATTCTCTCCGCTCACGGAGCCAGGTAGCACCGCGCCATCGCTCGAAGAAGTTCCTCGCTGAAGCTCATTGCGAGAAACGAAGGTTTGACTTGAATTCATCTGTATCCAGCACAGAGGATTTTTAACTTATACTGCTTCGGTCCCTATTGCAGCGCTCCCCTCAGTTTCCTGAACCTTATCGTGATTCCTACGGAGAATCACGCGAGCCTCTCCGAGCTGGAACCACGCAAGACGGCTTCCACAGGGATTCCACTCGTTTCCGTTTTGCCCGAGGCAGCACTCAACGATGGGAGCATTCCATCCCATTCCGTATATCAACACGGACTCCCCACTTCACCATTAGTCTGCTTCCACGGGGAATTCCCTCGAGTCTCGAAGAAGGCATTGGATTCGACGATCCCGGATCGAGTTCGTTCAGTTCTCAAATTGCCAGATGGTTCATCGATGACGCCAGAATGGAAAGTCAAGATTTTCCGCCGAACCGTCTTCTCCTCATACAGACTTCAGTACAGTACGCATCGTCGTTCTCACAGGATTCGATAACGGCCGGGAGCACATCCACAACAACGAAGCAGACTTCAAGCAGACCGGAGCCAACCTACACGCACCGAAAAGTTCGTTCCCCAGGATTTCTCCCTCGATCAGCAAGTCTAGAGAAGATCGATACCCATTGGAAATTTCCCGTGAGGAAAAATTATCCATCAAGGGGGCTTTGAAGCGCCCGGTGCGCTCTGGCCGCCTCAGAATGCGTCCATTCACCCACTGCTACAGAACTTCTTCTACCATTTGATCTCGTAGCGACTTGCGAGGACCTGACGGAACTGCTGTCAGTAGAAACCAAGTTAGCGATCAGGAAGAGCTGCGCGCCAGAAAAGTGGAAGGCTGTCCTCGATCATATCGCCCCCTCCGAGATATTTCCCGCTGCAAGCTGGTGAGAAACGCAGGAAACCGCCGTAGGTCGAGAGTTCAACATAACCATGGCTAATATAGCGATGCAACGGATTCGCAGAGAATTCAAGGAGGTTGTCAGATCCGATGAGGTAAATGATGCTTCGCTGATGAAATCGAGTTCATTCTGGTGAAAAATAACCTATTCGAACAATATCTTGGAGTGCAGGACTCGTCGCTCGAGTTCCGTATGATGAGTAAATCACCCCTCTTGGGCTCCGATTTGAGCAAGTTTCGCCATTCACAGCAATCTATAAAATTGGAATTGCAAGAAGACAACGTTCTCAGTCTGACGGGATACATCACGGGACCCGAGAAGACGCCCTACGAGGGAGGTCGTTTCCACGTTCAGATTACGATTCCCGAAACGTACCCATTCAATCCCCCAATCGTGAAATTCACGACGAAGCTATGGCACCCAAACATCAGCTCTCAAACAGGTAAGCGTTTCGTCGTCGGGAACATCGGGGAATCCTGTTTCTCTCTGCTACCTTGTCTATTGCAGTCCGTCAGAGGAGGCCATTCGGGAGTGAGATACGTCGAGGACGATCAGCTCAGTAATTCGAAGTCTAATTGCTAAGGTTGGCGATTCGAATCTGACGTGTAATCATGTGGCTATTTTCATCACAGGTGTGATTTGTCTCGACATCCTCAAAGATCAGTGGGCAGCAGCGATGACGCTCCGGATAGTTCTATTATCGTTGCAAGCATTGCTGTCCGCTGCGGAACCGGATGACCCGCAGGTGCGTGCGAAGTACTCTTCGTATTCTCAATTCTCGGGGAAGGAATTCGTTGGCTCTGTGATCCAACTCCGGACCAAGTCTTCGCGGAAACTCACCCTCCTTAACTCTTCCAGGACGCCGTAGTAGCGAACCAGTATAAGACCAAGCACAGTCTTTTTCAACAAACAGCCCGGTTCTGGGCGCAGACTTTCGCTGGCGCTCCCGGACCGTTGAACCCCGATTTCCAAAAGAAAATTGACAAATTCCTGGAAGTCGCTCCGCGAGCCGACAGGCACACGGCCATCCAGCAATTATCCAACTTCGATTGGAATATTGATAAAGCGATTGAGGATGTGTACAAAAGTGATTAGATAGACATGTGACGAACTCTAACACTGGCTGTCATGATTCCGAGCATGAGAAAAATTGACCTCTCAAATACGGCCGGAGAGTGCGTGTGATACATAATATAGATTCGTGAGTGGAAGTTTTATAAATAATGCGCGACCTTCTACAGCTATGGAAGACAGTGCGCTCGAAAATCGGTATTCCGGATTATCTTCGTCCCATTAGCAGTGCGTCCCATTCGCAGGAGACTCAGCTTATGATGAAGTGCAGTCGAGTCCATCGTTTGGAGCCCTCACTCCATTTATTACGAGTTCAGTAGGTATAGCTCTCTTCTAGCAAGAACCAGCGCTCAAAATGGATCCTGTCTGTGTCCGCTAGATTTCGAATGAGAAGCTCTTCCCTCAGTTCGGTCGGAGCTTCAGCGCGTATGCCTCAGGCGGGGGAAGAGAGTCGCTTCAGTTCAACTCGTCTATTAGGATCTGAGAATCTGTCTCACTGCATAGTTCGGACCCGCGAGAAGAAATCTCGGGCATTTCATTTCTTTCCCCGATGGGACATCGCGGAACGATTCTTGTCTTCGGGCTAGTTAACAGGTATTCCGATATATGGAACGGGAACCGGGTTTATGTTCGTTAAGATCGACACACACTCCGAGTTCCCACGGTTGATAGTGTGTTCGCTACCTGAGAAAGTGCGACGGAATCTCTGAGAGAAGCACGATTGTCTCGGATGCCTTTTTCTTGTCTTTATCAAGGAGTATTATTATTGATTGCTTATCGACGCAATATGGTAAGTAAGGAATAAATCGACAACCTTTTTTAAAAATTGAGTGATCGTGATTTCCGGTTGAGTATATTGGGAGATCGGAAAAAGTGGAAAGAAGCACCTCTAATTCGAATTATACCCGCATGGGTAGTTCGAAAGCTCATCACCGCCTCAGTGACAAGACAGGCGTAATCAATCAGCTCTGATTCGGGGGCTGTATCGGGAACAACAATGGTACCTCATTCCTTCCATTTCTGTCTCCATGAAATTGTCCTGCAGCCCGTCCGACAAAGGCCGAACCCTCGGAGAGGTCCCTCCCTTCACTCCATCTGGATCGCTTCGTCAATCGCGGTGGCGACTTGCCCGAGGGTTAGAGCGGATGGAGATAACGATCGGAGGATCGATCACAAACTAATTAGCGCTCCAGCGAAGGAGGACTCCGAGATGGTTTCTGGGGCATTCGGCGACCACATACTCGCAGTTGTTTATGACTAGAGCGCGGACTTTCAAGGAGAAGGCATATATTGCTCGAGAATCCTTATTTAGGACCATTTCGGTTGAGAATGCTTATTTCGAGAAGTTGACTCAGGTAATGCTAATTCCGAAGTTTCGAGCTCGGGAAGAGTTTTCCAAGACTTGCCGATGTCTCGATCATGGCCAATCATTCAAGCATACGCGAGGCTCGCCGCCTCCGGAGCCGAGAATGCTCGACGTTGCACACTGCCCGGCCATGAAGACGTTTGAGGTTTCGGTCAAGCAGATGACCAGCTGGACTTCTTGCTGATGGCTCTCCACGTGCGTTCGACACCATACGGGTCGAGGTGTGAGCAGAAAACTCCGAGGAGGCAGCAAGGATGCCGAAAGAGGGTCGAAGATGGAGACTTTCGAGAGAGTTCTCGGTCGTGAAGTACTTTCGACGAAAAAAACGATATCGCAGGTCTTCATGAATTCGTTGACGCTTCTCTGGCCCACACAAGCGATCATGTGCTCTCGTTTGTCTCGGACGGCGTGGCCTACATGAAAAAGGCAGGTACGGCTCTTAAATTAATGTGTCCGAGAATGCTGCATTCGACCCGCACCGAGTGGCAGAAGAAGTGAGACTCCTGTTCCCAAAAGTACGAAATCAAGACAAAAAAGACAAGATGGTCTCGAATGGCAAGCGAACTTTTCTGAAATCGGCTTCGAGAACCACGACTTCCCGCGAGAAGGCACCCGGAGTATCTCTGCCGCCTCAACCAATCTTAGCCCGATGGGGGACGTGGATCAACGCCGCCCTTTATTGCGCCAAGAATTTCGATGCCTTCGCGATTGTTGTCGAGTCTCTGGACGCCTCGGAGGCCGCAAGCATTGCGCTAACTCAAGGCTCGAAAGTCACCTCGGTCACCTACCACCCAGACATCGAAAAACTTGAAAAAGAAAGGACACTTCTCTCATCGAGAGCATTGGCACGTTCGGACGAGTCTTCGACGCTCTCGAGGATACGCCGGGCCAAATCGGAGACCGGCTCCGACAAAAGTGTAAATCAGTGTCGAGTCGGAATCCGGACTACGAAAACGTCAAGACAAAAGCTGAAGTTCTGAGGGGAGATGTCCCCGAGAGTTGAGACCCTGATTTTAGTCCTGCTGAAATGGCCGCGTCCGAATTTGCCCCGTTGACATCGGTTGACGTAGAGAGAAGTTCCCCTCAGTTGAAATACACCCTGGACGATCGTCGTCACAGTTTTACTTGCGAAAATCTACGGATGGTGCTCATTGTGTACTGTAATGCTCGAGCCGGGTAATACCTTGTTTAAATTGTCCGAGCTTATTCTGCGCTTGAAAGAGCTTATTCTCTCATTTTTTAATGCAAATTTGCTCGCTTATTTTGGTTTTTTTTCATGCTTGAAAGTCCGAGCTCTATCTATGACGGGCGCCGGTCACACGCTAGGTACCTCGTTGCTTCTATCGGATCGCCTACCTGAGCAGTTGCAGATCCCTCGTCCGTCAAAAGGCCGCCGTGAAAAGGAATCGCCGTCATTCCCCAGGCAGCGGACCTCCGAGTCCCCATGCGCAGCCTAGCGGAAAGTTGGCACAGCCATACTCTGAAAGTCTCACGATTTCGCTTAGATTCGGATGCGCTTCTCCCGAGCTGCATCGAAAACCGCCGCGCGCGCCCTTTTCCTCGTCAGCCGGGGGGGGTATTGTCCAGATCTCGCGCGGTTCCCGAGAATGTGACCGGCTCCCAAGCGCGCTCCGTTCCGGCCACTCGATGGGATTCCAGCGAGCTTTTCCTTATCGTTGAGGAGATTCGGGAGGTCGGCAAGTGTCTTCTGACGGAGCTCGAGGTTTCCGGCTCTTCGTGGCAGAGGACCGCTCACAGCGGTAAATCTCGCTAGGGGCCGCAGACATGATCAGAGTCGCAGCTCGACGCGAGTCTAGCATCATCCGCACTCACCCCTGCCTCAGTAACCCTCCTGAGATTCGGACGCTTCCCGGGTAGGGAGTTCCGGGGAGAGTCTGAGGGATGCGTCTTGTCGAATCAGAGTATTTCCACGCTCCACGGCTACTGCCGTCACATCTACCAAGCGATCACCAAGTTGCTCCTAGTATCATTAAGTAAGTCAATCCAACACGGGGCGGGTATTTTTTTTTTGCGTTGATTGCTTCTGCGCCACCTTCCGTTGTTTATTTCCGACGATGAATCTTAAGACCACGGAATGAAGCCTGACGGAGATGTTGAGGAACCTTATCTTGGACGCAACATGAGAAAACATTTCAGCGTAGAACGGTTTACTTCTTGATGCCAGTTCCTCGGTGGCGATTCGGAAGTTCTTCCATTTTTCGCATATCTCCATTGTAATGATATGAGTCCCGATCCGAATACAAGCGAAGCTCGCTCCGGACGCCGCTCAATATGTCCGCGTCATTCCGCTTTCTCGCACGTAAATGCCCTAGAAACGACGGCGTTTCACACCGGGAAACCCAGGAACACAATGTTCAAATATGCTCACTAACCAGAGTTTCCGTGAAACACGCAATCGCTCCCTGGTCAGTAACATCGTCGCCGCACCAGTTCCGCGCGACGTCGTACTTGTACGGTGACGAGGGCAGCTTTCTTCGCTTTCAACCCGTTTTGACCTTTCGCTTCGCGACGTCCTGCTTCGCGACTTCTGTAGCGAATTCTCCGGATGCGAAACGTGGGATGCATACTACCGATCGGGGAATCCGTGAATTTTCCAAACATTAAAAGCTCGTTAAGCGAAGATTAAATTCTTTCCAGTCGTCTAGAACAGCACGTGTCTGCTCTGAAAGAGCGTGGAAAAGACGGCTGATCGATTCTTCGTTCGGATCTGCGTCTCTGCCGATTCGTGTTTGTACAACCCGCTGCGACTGATAAGAAACGATAGCAAGTATAGTCTGTCAGGAGTTCGTTTTGGCGCGCGTCGAATCGACTATCTGTTTTGTATCTACGCCGATACTTCAATGAGTCTCGGAACCGGGAAAACATCCCGAAACAAAGTCTCTGTTCCTGAACGCGGCTCTCTCGTTATCCCAAAATCCGGAGCGGGGAAACGAGGCCGTTTCCCAGCTCGAAGTAGCTCACGAATTCATTGAGCTCACGGAGATCTCGGAGAATGTCGCGTCTTGGATGAGGAAGACGACGTGGCAATCGAAAGCACGGGCAATCGGTTGGAGATGAAGCATCATGGCGCATTTCGATTTTTCCCTCGACTTCGCTTTTCTTCCGCCTGATGGAATCGGACTGTTGTGTTCTGAATCGAGAAGAAGACCACTTCTAGCTTTCCACAGACGCGCTGCCGGCTTCTCACCGCCGTCGGCGCCAGAAAACGTCGGCGGACTTCTCACAAAAATCCCCCTCAGCCCCTCATTGAGGCTTAATAAGACCCGTTGTTGTTTCAGTGTTCCATTTTTAGAAAAACTATTCTCACCCGGATCGGCCCATTTTAATGGGAGCCGGGACCCGATTGTCTTTTTCGCGATTTACGGCCGAGATTCGTCGGATCGGATCGGGGCATCGTTCTGGCTCGCGACAGCTCCCTCAGTCGCCGGAAAGCATCGAAATTCGTTGAGGCTCGAGGCTCGGAGGGCGCACCGTACTATTCAGGATAGCGCACCTGTTCGCTCGAGCCCAACACTTGGAGCAATGGAGAATTCTCCCCGTTATGGGATCCGACGAAATTCTCCAAATCAATCCTTACGCCTCCCGACAGTGTTTCGATCCAAACAGCTTTGGGGATGTTCGGGGAAGAAGGAAGCTTCGGATTTTCGGCGTTGCCGTTCTGCGGAAGAAGACGAAGAATTGTTATATCCGACGCTTTGTCTCAAATCCCGCCTGGATAATTTGACAAAAGACTCGGGCCCGTTGTTGTTGTTCCGGTTACGATCGACCTCATCGGTGCTGGATGCCACGTACCCAGGTGTTACGTTCCTTCTTCTTTCCTATGATGGTACTTCATTGTCGGCGAGAGTGTCATCGCCAGTTCTTAGATTCGATCTGTGCAGAAACCCCGTTCAAAAAATTCCAGGCGACCGGTCGTCGTTTCCCTTCTCCAAGGATGATTCTCTCGGTCCACGGTGGTAAAATGAATCGCACAATCTCGCATATAAGGGAGAAAAAAACCTTGAAATTCTCTTCCAGTTTGTGCCCGAGCTCCCCTGAACGTCAGTGAGTTTACCGTTACGGGAGCTGCGGGATGTGCCGGCGTTCAAGAACCGTCGCTGGGTAGATGAAGATTTGACTGAGGGAGAGTTACAACCACGAGGCGTTGGGTTGCGCCTTTAGTCGGCGCTATTTGAACACTTTCACTTTTGAACGAGTTGGCTTTGCTCCGCGTTCGGCTCCACGTGAACCGTCTGAGCTCACGTCGTACCGCAGTTTCCATCGGTCAATCCCGGGGACAATTCATCCTATCTGTGGAGTCGCCATGATCCGGTGAGTTGACACACCGCTTTGACAGCTGAGAAGAATAGAATTTTTTGGATAGCGTGACTGCAGTTCTCCCTCGCCGGTCGCCGGCAGGGCCCGTTTTTCACCACACTCTTCGATTGGTCGGCAGCCTTTTCTGATAGCGGTTACGTGAATGAAGCATAATCGAAAATCATCCACGCCCGTGATTCTGAGAGAAGAAGGATTTCGCGCATCTCTGTCGCGGGAGGATAATCGGTATCGATCGTTGACTCGCTCGATGTCACTGATCCACGGAGAGGTGTTGATTTCCATTAACCGGAAAACAGCTCATAAGCTATCGCATCCCAATAATGGTCGCGAGGTGGAGGAATTCTATGAATTCCGAATGAATTCATCCTTTTACCGTAGGAGATCCTCAGAGCTTTCACGAAATCTTCCGCTGAGAGGCATTCCACAGAATCTTCTGAGCAAATCGGAAATGAATCCGCGGAAGACAGGCCCGATGTGTGTCGCTCGTCAAATCGCCGGCCAGCGAGCGCTCAAACAAACAAACTTTTGCGCTTACACATGAGAGCCGAAAGTCCGTCCGTCAATCTTCGTTCGGCTCGCCTTCAGAAAAGAGATTCTCTTTGATTTGGCGACTGAATGGGCTGAGCCACCTTTGCCGAGAAGCGTTTTCGGTGCCCAAGCACAAGTACACAAATAAGAAGCGGTCGTAGTCGACACCGCCGGCCGCGCCGCCGTCTTCAGCGACACCCTGAAGAGCTTCCGCCGAAGACGAATGAATTTTCAGAAGACACGACGCATAGGCTCACCCACACGTCAAAGTACGAACTCACCGAGTTGGCCCGCGAAGCATGGATGGCCGACCCGGAAGGAACGATCGGCTCAACGACTCGAAGTCAGGGTGTGCCTTCAGATGCGGAGGATTCACGTTCACACCTCTAAAAAAATCCTTATCAAACTTTGCCGCGACCCTTGCGTGTCCAGCTCTTATTTTAGACGCTTCTACGTAGAAGAGTACTCCAGAGCTCCGGAAACCCTCGATTCGCGCAACGTTCGCAATCCACTCAAGGAATCACCATTTCGATTGATCTCGCCGCTGATTTCCTCACCGATCACTTGAACCGATGATTTCTGCATCGATTCTGCCGATTTCTGCGTCGACTAAATGTGATCTGCAATTTCCAGCCTTCATCATGCCTTGCTTGTTCTTCTCTTCGTACTCCTGATTGAGGACAGCAACGCTCAGCCCATCTGGGACCGCTTCACTCAACTGGTTTTCGAACCGAATAGGCTCAATTACTGGTAGGGTTCGTCCGCCGCACCGTTCCGGCTCCCTCCATTGGACGAATCTGCGCTTGTTCGATATTTGGCAGCAGCGGGTTGTAGCTCTCTTTCCCGTAACTATCGGCGCCATTCCCTATGAATCTTTTCCACTTAGACTTCTTCTCCACAGGTACACGGCCTGGGAGAAACTTTTCCACATGGGTCGTTACCATGTTCACAACCTACCGAAGATGTTGGCGATGCCCTTCCATGGAGCGCATCGAGTGATGAGCACAGTCTACAACATCCGCCATTGAGGCTTGCCGAATAATTTATAATCGTCATATCTGTGTGTGTATGTACGTGCGCAAGTATTTATTTGAAATGTAGTTAAATTCATAGACAAGTAGCTGTATGTTCACGTGAGAGGAATTCGGAAGAAGCACTCAGTAGGCATCTAGGAAATAAAGTTCAAGATTATTCATGTCGAGATAGTTTTCTTCCATTGACGAATCCCGGGATGAGTTGGTCGACCATCGGAATCCTCAGTATTTGGAGTTGAGACCCCGGTGGCCGCGGTCGTATGATTGCAAGCGAAGAATCACCTACTAGGAGGTATGGAGTCAGGAAGGGTGCTCCTCGCACAACGGACCCTACGCACTTCAGTTCCACAGAAGAGCGCGGCGCCGATCATACGGAGACGAATCGGGAAAACGGCGAAGACATGGATGTTCTCGTACTCAAAGATAGGCGCGCCCCCTAGCTGCTCAGACTGCGCCAGAGCCGACGACATCGAAGGGTCGGTGAGTGTGGCGAGTGAAAATCCGCAGGAGAGGAGACTTGAGAATAGCTATCGCCATCGTCGTCGTAGTATTCGGCGCTGCCACCGCCGCTTCGAGCAAGAACGACAACAACAACATCGTCGACGACGACGGCGACAACGACAACAACAAGGGATGGTGAGCTACGAGAATAGCCCCTCGAGCAGCGGGATTATGTCTGCTACGTCAGACTGTGCTCTGTGAGCCGGTACGTCAGAATTTATCGTTTAGGTCTATGAGTCTGTTTCGGATCCGAGGTCGTGTCGTAGATCGGGCTGCAATGTAGAGCCCTGGTCGTCTCGGGACTTCCTCTTCAGGGAAAACGACATTACCCACGGGTTGCGGTGCTCCTCAGAAACGAACGTGCCGTCTTCTCCATGGTGCATGACATGGAGGTCCGTCCGGTCAGCTGATCCGGGAATCCATGCGAATCTCTTTGAAGCTCCCCCTGTGAAATTTCCCCCTGTGTCCTCGCCCCACTGCGTCCAGTTTGTTTTACGAAGCCTGGTTGTGCTCTCACTAATATATTCCTTGGTATGGGGACCCTTCTCCGATCTGATTATTCCTCCCTATAACTAACCTAGTCAGATCAGATTCTCTGGTGTCTGGCTTACCGTGCTCGCATTGATGCTGGTTGTCGGTTGACCCGACCGCATCCATCCCACATGCTTTCGCTGATCCACCCGGCTAAAGGGTCTTTCGGTTGACCGGGTCATTGTTGAGCTTGCTGTCGGCGCCGCCCGCCGCCGTCGGACTCGCTATCGTGGGGAGATTCCCCCGAGTGTCTTCGATATAAGCTCTCAAGAAGAGTTTTCTCTTTCATCGTCAGGTTACCGTCGGCATCAATCGACAGATATGCTCTCGTATGAGAGGAAGCGGCGGCAAAAAGGTGTCAGTACGCCTCAATGATCGGGCGTAGGATGACGTTTGATGGCAACGATGTGTTTCCGATGCTGTTGTTGTTGCTGCAAAACTTCACTCTGCCTCCTGCTGACCTCAATCCTCTTGGTGGTCGTTGTGATCGTCCTTATACACCCGGCGTTCCTCAACGGCGGTGAGTTCATTCCTATTTCTCGATTCCGAATGTCATCGAGTCATTGCGTCTTCCGATTCTGAGCGAGTCAGATCAAGTTCCGGAGATCGGGAGCTGCTGGGGAAAAATTTCTGGAGACGATAGTCGCTACAGGAGGCAGGAGGGAATTTCCGAATGAGCATTCTATTCTGATGGATCAGAACAATTGCCGAGTCCTTGATTTTCTTGCGGAAACGCTCTTGGTTGATATCGTTAGCCTCTTCCCGCTTGGCCATCCTCCCTCACTCAAAATTAAAACTTCAGTGAAACGAATTTGAAATTTCCTCCGCTTGCAGTGGAAGATGTCATCGAGTTCGAAGAGGATTACGCTTTCCGGGAGAGCGGTGAGTCGGAAGTTCTAGCCTGAACGGCTCGAGAATAGACCGATGCGACTGAGCGAGAATTCCTGATGAGTTATGAGCGTTCGGATGATGAGAACCGCGTTGTTTTGCAGGAGGCTCCGGGACGAGTACGCGCGCTAACGAGATGGTCGACAGACTGATTTTTGTGATGAAAAGAAGTGCAATAATTTCACCGCAACTTAACAATATCACGGTCGAGAGAAGATTGGATACCAAGCACGGATCACTCGAGGATCTCAATATAAGAGGATTGATCGCAGGTACCTAATTCGCTGGAGATATTTCTCTCCACGGTTCTCATAGAGCGCCATCCCTCTGTAGACAATACTTCCCGGAATGGGACGTTCCTTCACGACAAGAGACCGCCGCGCCGCCCACCATCCGAGAGTCGGCTTCGGAAGCGAGTTCACCGAAAGTACGCGATTATTAAAGTCACTCGCATTGAGAAAGTAGCACGGTGTCGTACTCGCTGATAGAGGCCCCATTTCTCTGCGCGAGAGGCCTGTTTTGTCTCCCAATACGGCGGAGTCCATGCGCGCTCGAAGTTGTCGATTGAGATCCCTCCATGCGCTCATTCGATCCCGGCATTGGGTGATCGGGTGTTTCGGGGACTTATCCCGCTCCATTCATGACTATTTCGCGGGAAAGTGGAGAAGAAGAAGGTTACGAAGAATTTCATTTTTTGCTCCGAAGGTATGCATCGATCGGGGGACGCCGTCCTTTCTGCGGCGAATGCCCGTTTTTTTCTCGCGATGCCAATAACCCTCAAGAACATAACGATTCGGGGCGTTCATCAAAGGGAGTCACCCGTCGGTTCGCTACAAGCTACAGGAGTTGCTCGTGTGGACATGGTTTCGACACGGTTCAGAGTCTCACTAAGCGCCAAAGGAATGCACCTCGACGATTTTAGGGTGAGTTCCGATCGTTCAAAATCAATACTATTGCAGAATATGTTCGATGCGGAAAACCGAGCTCGCCGAGCCGAATGCATTTTCCGAGATGGACAGATCCTAAGAACTGGTCGGGCCGGGTCGTGCGAGGGAACCCGTTCGTCGGCAAAAAAGCTTTTTCCACTCGGAACTTCGCGAAGCGCAACAGTGAGCACCCGCTGTAGTGAAGGCCTGGCATTCATTCTATTCATTCGGATTTTCTAAAAATGTCGTTCCCGCTCTCAGATAACAAGGATGGGGCGAATTCGCATGAAAGAATTGGATTTCCTGCCCGGTTTGGACTGGATATTCTCGTGGATTGGCGAGACTACAATAAATCAGCGGCGAGCTGAACTAGTCGGCCCGTTAGAAGAAGCTGGCAGACGCGTTTTCCAAAAAGCCCTCGGCACTGTGACGCAAGACAAGATTGCGGAATTTATCGCCGAGAGAACCAATAGATTCAGGATGCTCGGCTGAATGGAGATTAGGAAGAATTCCTCACAGATGATACCAAGAATCATTAGGGGAAATCGTCTCCCATTGAGGATTACAGAAAGTTAACTAATATATGTATATGTTCTACCGTGGAACCACCTCGATAAGTCTCTCTCGCAACGATTGCTCCTCATCGAGAGGACTAGAATCGAAAACCCGCCAGATGATGTGTTGCGATCACTGATCCAAAACTCGATCGACTCACAACGCGGGTCGAGCAAGACGATCCGGTGACTTCTTCACCGATAACAGGAAGACTCAATATATAGAGACGTTGCGATCCTGCAAACTCGTTCCTTGTGATATCAAACTATCATTTATATATTCTCGGAAGGCATGGCACACGGTGAAACAGTTGAAAAGTATTGTCAGAGGACCGTTCCGTTCGCATACATGCATGTTATATATTCAGGAATCGCGATACCTCCCGGGTACAATGTAATAAACTGTGAATTCCAGGGAGAAATTCTGTCTTTTCAATCCACAAGGCTCCTCGACGCATTAACGTTCCCCATCCTATTTGGAATACTCGAGACGCCTCTCGAACCGAGTATGTCTGGAGAACCGACCGCAATGAAAGCGAGAATTGCACGCAGAAATCGGCCGAATCCTTGACGTGGTTTCAAACAGCCGCCGATTGCTCAGAGCGAGAATGCCACCTGAGACCCGGTATTCTCCGGCACTCTCGCCGATGAATGTCTTGTGAAAAAAAATGAAAATCTTTTCTCATGTGGAATTCTGGTTCTGAATTCATTCACCTGCCGACAATTGAATGATTGATCTCTAGTCAAGTTGTCAACCTGTACCGATATCGTTTGATCGAGGAGATAAAACGTCATTCCGAAGACAGCACCCACTTGCAGTTCGGATTCTGTAATCCCCATCCAAGAATGGAGATAAGCAGATTGAGCTAATTTTTCATTCCGGCGACATTCCATCGGAGACAAGACGGCGGAGGAGAGTCGAGACACACCGAAAAAACAAATTACCGATAAGAGCGGACTATATCCTCCAATCCCGAAAGCGTGTCTCTTAGATCGAGAACTGAATCACTTTTCTCAAATGATTTCCCGAGCCTCGCGAAATTCGGGACGCTTGGCGTGGCTCGGCAATTCGGAAATATTTTCAGCAATCGTGGAACGCAATGCAGAGAAGATGATGTCTCATGAATGGATATATTTCTACGTCCTCCTAGAGCTCCATATCGATCGAGGTAACTCTCGCCGTTCCCCGGGCGACGAGGGAGAGCCTTTTTTCTTTCTGGGAGCCCTTCAAAGACATATCGCACACCCTCGACAAACAATCTTACATACCGGAGATAAAGTGCCTTGTCCCGACATGTCTGCAGCTTTAGTCTTCGCCTAAAGGAAGCAGCCTCGAGGCACACTCTTCAAGGATGCATCCTAAGTAAGCCTCCCGTTCCGATTCCGAATTTCGAGATTTATTCGACTCCTCTGATCATCTCCGACCCGGAGAGTCGGTGAGAGATTTCACGATCTTCCGCGAACATGTAATGGATGGTTGTGATTCGTGAGCTGATGCTCTTGACCGCATCTCGGAAGTTTGGTCCCATGACATCGCTGATTGGGTATACGACACACAGTGTTCCAGAGTGGCCAAAAATCAGGTTCGCCACCGAATGCTTCTAAAACGATTTCTCAGCATAAGTCTCGATGCCCGGACTCCATTTTGGGTCTCGGAGGCTGCGCGTTCGGTGCGCGGAGCATTCCAATGGCGATGTTTCCTGACGGGAATTCATCTCAGAATATGGTTGTCCGAATGAAAGGGGAAATATTCCTCGAAGAGAGAAGTAAAGAAAGAGAAAGAAAAAACAAGGAAAAAAGAAAGAAAAGAAGACAAAAAAAGAAAAACAAACTGAGTCCAATGAGCTCACTTCAGGTGGCTTGGCTTTGCAGCTTACACACTGAGCCATGTGAGGCACTTCATTGATGATCTGGATAATCTTTCCGTCGATCATTGATAGGATCATTTTGAAGTCCACTGAGAAAGTTGATTCCCTTATTGTTACCACGAATGTTTTGAGGTCCGATACCACATCTTCGACTCGAGCTACGTGTGCTTCGATCACTTCCGGTGTCTCCTTCGTCAGCTCGAATCTAAGGGGTCGACAATAGTTCGTAGATGAAGGCTTGGGATTGTCCCAGAAGATAACCGTTTCCTCAGAAGTCTTGCTGAGTCGGAGAGAGGTCACAGAAACAATAAATAGTTTACCGTCCGAAAGAGAATCACACAAGGACGCCTGCATGTACTCCGAATGTCCAGAGGATCCATCGCAACCCAATTTTGACAAGGAAGTCAAGTGCTTCCCCAACAGGCTGAATTCTGGCTTCGGTGGCGAGCTTAGTATTCGCTTCACAGAGTGCTCTAGGAGATCCTTCAGCGGGACGGAAGCGTGCGTCCCTGTTGTCTCGATGTTGGTCGGATAGCATCGTTTCTTCCCAGTCAACACCTTGTTGTATGCAGGGAAAGCATCAAGACCGAGCTCTCTCTTCAATTCAAGTCTCAGATCTATGTATAGTTCCTTCGCTATGTTCAGATCGAGTTAGAGTTGTAGAGCCTTCAGGAGACTGACGCTGAATAAAAGTTTTGCTCAATTTTTTTTCTTCTTTCCTTTCTTCTTTCCTTTCTTCTTTTTATTCTTTTTTCTTCCTTTTTCTTTCCCTTTCCCTCCAAGGATTGTTTCTCCTTTCATTCAGACAACCATATTCTGGGATGAATTCCCGTCAGAAAGTATCGCCATTGGAATGCTCCGCGCACCGAACGCGCAGCCTCCGAGACCCAAAATGGAGTCCGGGCATCGAGACTTGTGCTGAGAAATCGTTTTAGAAGCATTCGGTGGCGAACCTGATTCTGCCGATTCTGAACCACTGTGCGACATGCTTGGCCACATCCGAGAGACAAACAATTAATGGAAAGATCAGGTCTCCACACGAAACGATCCGGAGGGAGCCCAGTTGACCTCGAAAGCCTGTCAATCATCAACAATTTTCCAGACCATGGATCGACTTATCCTGAGGGGGCATTGTCGCCGACTCACAGGAATATGTTGCAAATGTTAAACCTCGAGTTTTTCGCTCATTTGCGGACATGTGCAGTGACGAGGGTCGATCCGGAGCTTCATCACGATCTAGTAGATGGGAATGAAGTTTTACTCCAAAAAGCAGGAAGACTTTCTTTCCAGTCCAAAGTCGCTATTTCTTTTCTCGGGTCTCAATAAAGGTAACAGCTCCTCGCATCCCAGCATGGAGCCATGAGGAAGTATTACATCAAGTCGAATCCTCATCCCACGAGAATGATGAAAAGTTCCGAATATTGAGTTCGAATATGAAACGTTCTCGTCATAATCACGTGTACTCAGCCACATCAACGACCAAGTCTTCGAGACGATTCGCGCAAGAACCTGGGGATTTGGGACGCGGATCTCTCTCCTCTCTGTATATTCGGGTTGCCAGCGTGAGCTGTAGCATAAGCGTCGCGGTTCGGTGCGGGGCTCCATTCAGGAGCTGCCAGGGGATCGCATCTTGCGGAACTCGGAGGGAGGAAAGAAAGTTTCCCCAAATCAGTTTGAAGCTCGTAGTCGAAAAACGACACGAGTTCCAGCGAGAAATTTCCCCGATTCCACTTTCCCCCGAACATATAAAGACCGATGCGATCCACGTTCTGCACCAGACGGTGCGGTGTCGCTCCAAAACTATGGAGAAGTTCATTCTGATCGTTACGTCGCTGTGCTCGTCCCTCTGCGGAGTGGTGGAAAGTTCCGTTATAACAACAACTGCCTTCGGTGGTCGTGAGTTTTCTGCCGGGGCACCTCAGTCCATCCTACGATTCAACACGTTCGGGGTTAATTCCGAGAGGGATCACGTTCACGACCACCCGCCATCGCATCAGGGGGATCTTCCGTTTGAGTCTCGGATCAGCGGAGTTTCTTACCTCAGACAGCCCGGAATTCCAGTCGACTTCGTCCAACGAGTCATGGTGCCTCATTCGATGCTTTTTCGGAAGACGCCTAATCATATGATAATGCAACCGATTTTCATGCTGAGCAGCCCTCACTCTCATCGAGGCCCCGGATTCGGTTTCGAGAACAACTATAAGGGGGACTTCAAGGCTCTCGGCAACAGCAAGAATTTCGATTGGTGGTGATCTGAATCGATGTTGAGAGGAAGCTTCTCACATGACCTGGGTGACCGCACCTCTCAGGACGGACGACCCTTCCCCACTTCGAACCAGGATCTGATAGGGAGGTCCCTCGGAAGAGATATGCCACACCCCTCGTCGATGGAAATATGGACAGCGATGGAAACTCAGGAGCGTCTTATCGGGGCGCTTTAGCTCGGACTCGAAGGTGCAGTCCGAAGTAGTCTTGAGCCTGTTCATCAGAAACAGGTGCCCGGTCTTCACCCGATCAGGGAGAACGAAGCCTTTTCCATGATCCATCAAGGAAGCAGATCTTTCGCTAGGCAATTATTCACTCGAAGAATAAATCATATCACAGTACTCGGCGAGCCCAATCACCTTTTGACGCATTGTGTTGGAGTCAGTCCATGGACGTCCCATGTGTGCCCAGTACCCAATGCCCTCGAGCTCCTGGAGAGACAATTGAATCATCTCGGAGACGACCCAGCCTTTGGTCGGGGGCCCTAAAAGGAGCTTATCATTGGAGCGCCCCTGCAAAGCGACGGTCTCTTCTCTCCGAGACAGGTATACGATTCTTTCTTCCCCCAGGGCCATTACGCGATTTCCCCCTCGAGTACCCGACCCCAGCTGCTCTTGACTTTCGACTTCTCCGAGAACGACTGCCGAGGCTGGAATGAGCGGACGTTCTGGAGTCCGATAATGGGGAACTCTCCCAACAATTCAACAGCCATCCCATTACCGGTGTTGGGACACACCGTGATTTTGCATGACTGACGCACGATCAGTCGGTCACGGAAGCTGGCCCAGCTCAGCGCGCCGTGCAGCGGAAATCAGCTACGTGCCGATTTCCAAAATCTGTGAGATCTAGTCCGAGTGTAGCTTGCATGTGAGACCGAGGGGTCAGAGCTCGAAGCTGAAGCAGGAGGAATGTGAGGGACCGCCTCGGGCGGACTGCGCTACTCAGCAAAGATCATTCATCGTCATCATTCGAGTCTTCACTCTCCTACCGCCGACCCGTAGAAATGTAACCCGCGTGATTTTTCACGAGTGATTTCTTACAGAATCGTACCTGATCGAGTGCATGCCGTCAGGAGAACGGGGACAATCGCACAAATATACGCCGCGAGATCCCAATCGCGCGAATTTCAATTCGAATCCGCGTGTGCGGAGGGGAAGTTCGTGTTTGTAAACATTGGGCCCCTTTTCTTTTACGCCTCTCTCTTTCTTCTGACAAGACGAAAGAGAAGAATGAAGAATGAGCCGCGGCGATGATAGTGTCGACGGCAATCGATGATCGTGGTCGTAGTTAGAGTTAGCTGTTTAGAGAGGCTCACCGAATTTGACATGCATCGATATCATTGATGCACTGTTTGCATCCTCGTCTCCATGTTCTCGACATTCGAACCCGTGCCGGATCGCTCTTAGCCGAGCTACCTGTTGGAGCGAGCGAGCGTGAGTCGAATGGACTCTTTGAGATCGCAGGCACCGAGTGCCGAGCCTCCTTCGCCGGATCCATGTGACTCAAAAACGACGCACAATTTTGTCGTTCTGATTATCTGTTCGTGAGTGTTTGTTCGTGGGTGTGTGCTTGTGAGGAGTGCAAGTGTGCGGAATTTCTGAGAGCGGAAGACCTCAGCCCCTGAGCTCAGAAAAGAAGCCATCATGCTGAAACAAATCCTCTGCGCTCTCGTTGTATTCGTTTTCAAAAACTCGGTTGTGAGCCCCGACCCGAATGAAGGAAGAGCTTCGCTGTTATCTCAGCACCTCAAACGGATGTCCCAAAGCCATCTCAAGCTTGCCGACATTCAGGTACGTAGCGGAAGCTCCTCCGGAGGACTCCGCAAGCATTTTCTGATCGGGGACCCCGGGAATCCTCAGGATACCGTCCGCTCCGATGTATCACTGGCGATATCAATAGCACGCTCTTCGCCCGTCAGCTGACATCTGACCATTTCCCTAATCGAAGCTCGATTGGTCTACTTGGTATTGAGAATCGAGGAGTCTTCGAAGGATGAGGACGACCCGACATCAGATGGCTGTCTGAATGCATGATAGATCAGATTCAAATGTATCAGTGGAGCTCGTGGGAAGCCATCCGAATCGAGAATCCTCGCTTGCAAGAGAGAATTCGCCTTGGAGACTTCATTCTCGAGACGTCGGTAGAACAACGTTTTCCGTCGAAAACTCATCAGACATTCAGAAAGACGGATCGGCTCCACGGAGAGACTAGCGGAAAAGCGGGCCACGCCAAGGACTGACTCGTGTTTTTACAATCGTAATAAAATTTATCTTCCTATCGCATCCGCTTATCGACATCCGATCGCGCGAATCAATTACATACTACAACGTCGTTCATCAAAACACATAGTCCAAGGGACTAGAGCGGTTTTCCGAAGGTCTCGAAGTCTGTGAGCCGCCCGTCTTCTTATTCCGTGTCATTTCAAGCTCTCGTACATACAATCACGATATATTTGCTGCCGTCTTTTAGTCCCTTTTTCGAATTCTATCGGCTTCATACTTTCTTGTTCAATTCTTCTATGTGCTGGTCATCTTCGGCAGATTCGAGACAATACCACAGCTCGGATGCGGGTAGAGCGCATTTTCCAGGGGAGAATCTTCTGGGCGGACTCGGCAATCACTATTCGGGATTCGACTCACTTCCGGAGTCCCTCCCTTGAGCCTTGAGTACGGGTACATCAAAGTATCTCTCCATACGCTCTTCATTACACCGTAAACTTCCCAACAGACGGGAAACCCCCGATTAGTAGGCCTGTCTGAGGGTTGGAATGGAGTCGCGCAGATTGCAGGAGTTCTCTCGCGGTCCGTTCTTGAGGATATCCAGCAATGCTAGTTTCTGTAGTAATTATGTATACTACACGGTGGGGCAGTATAAATTCCCCATTTTGAATGATTCCCATAGAATCCGAACCAAGGCGGCCAGCGGAATCCTGCTTGCAATAGAATGACCACGAGGACTTGCAGTTTCAGAAAAAAAATCCTCTGGTCCGAGACTTCTCACCGGGTGGACGTTCAAAGTTGACGTTTTGAAGTTCAGCTAAGGTCATTCTCATAAAGCTCGGTATTGATTGCTGTGGGAAAACTCATTTTCCTCACTTTCGCGCTGATTCTTGTTCTCCAGCTTGGAAATATCGGACCAAAGAATTTTTTTCTGAGAGGGCGAGTCCTCCTAAACGTTTTGACGCGAACAGAACTTCGCTAGCCCTCATGGTTCGGATTCTATGAGCAAAACAAAATGGGGAGAATATACTGCCCCACCTTGTAGTTTGGGAGGCCGAACTCAGTTCGCCTTTGGTGGGCGCTAGATGGGGACGTGCAGTCTCTAACAAGCGGGCAGGTTTTGGACGGTCGAAAAATAGACGGGCATGCCCTTCAATCAGAAAACACACGGTCGGTATCCCAATCAGATGGCTCCATTGATTTCTCGAGCAGTTAGCTAGCGAAGTCCGTGCAATTTGTCTTTATTTCCCGAATACGTCGGCCGAAATATCCTAACTCGAGTCATCGGAAACTGAGCGTTTTCTTCGGCTCATGACCGTTCGCGGAAGCCATGTTTTTCCTCGCGTACGATTCATTTCCTCTTGAGGGAGACCTTTCCCGAGAGACGCGGTCCATGATAACACTTATCCAGATGGTTCGGAAAGAGCCGATAATAGTGGTCAATGAAGACTAAAAGAAATCATTCTGCGTCACGATTGACAAATGTATTCAAGCGGGCGCTGCGCCGCGAGAAACCACTTCCAAGAGCGAAGTGCTCTCTGAAACTCTTCTACCACGCGGAACGGGTCGCTGAGCCAGCGTTCGGAAATGGTGAATCACTACGAATCTAGCGGCCGATCGCTTTGATCCGAACCAAAATGTAATCATAAACTGGACAGCGATTTAACCCAACCTCCCGAAGGCATGGTCCGGCGGCTGGTGGCTCGGCTGCTTTGAGAGTGCTTCTCCAAACAGAGTCGAGATAGAATTATTTGCCGGAGACGTGTCGCCCAGGAAGATCCCTTGCGAGATGGTGACAAATATCGTCTAGCGATACATGATTCGAGAGGTTCTTTCTGAGTGAGCCAAATGTCCAGCATGCACTTCTGTGTAGATAGAATAAGACGAACTCGTCGATGGGCTCTCGGAGCATCATATCTTCGAGACTGCAAGCTAGCTTCGAATAGTGTGATAGTCCGGAAAGTGTTCTATCATAGTTCAATGGGCAGTGATAAAAACTATGGTGTCATTGAGTGCGTAGGACACTCCTAAGTCGATTGTCGAGCGTATTTGTTCCTGTTGCTCTAGAGGAATTCGGTGCAGATGAGCACGAAGAGGAAAGTTCCCACTCTCCTCAACCATGCGACATCAGCCGGGGAAAGATGGGTGTGCGCTTCTCAATAGTGCCTATCATCCGAAGCATAGGCGAGGTCGAGCCGTCTTTGGGGATGGGGTCTTGCTCAATGAATATGCTTATTCAGGGGCGATCTTTCAGGCTATGAATGATTTCGATTCCGACGAGAGGATCTCTGGGACTATCCTGGGAAAAGCGAATCGAGGGTCTCGGACCAACCGATTTTCTCTCTCGATACACATACATATGTGTTTCCCGAAATTTTCGGTCATTTTTCGCTCCCACCGACGGTCTCGAGCCCCCCTATTTTAGCTCATCACACTGATCCTTCTCTTACAGGCAAACCTGGATCGTTTATCCTTCGCGCCGGCGCCCTTCGACCGCGATGAAATTTTTGCCAGAACCTTCGGATCTCTCAAGAGGAAACACCGCGAACTCTACACGGTAAGCTCCCAGATGTCCCTGTGAGAACGATAAAATCGATCCGGGGTCAGGCTGATCTCGGGCGTACGCAGCTCTATCCCGCTTCTGTACCCTACCCGGGACCGGTATTCTGGCGCTTGATGATGCTCCTGCATGGACGCGGGAAACTTTGACTCGGTTTCATTTACCAGGTTCTGGCCAATGCGTCCCAAGAGATCCACGACCTCATGCATCAGACAGCTATCGACGTCAATCTCCCACCGCAGTTTTGCTGCGATATGGATACATGGTTGAAAATGGATCCGATTTTCGGAGCTGAGGTCAGTATCTGATTATTCAGAACCAGAATGAGCTGACGAATTCGAGTTCGGATCTCCAACCCGACCGGATTCACCATGCTCGCATCTAACCGCAGATCGCGCCAAACACAACGTGTAGTCCGAGTAGAGAGGCGGAACCGTTTCATGATCTCCGACCCGTCTTCAACCGCATCGCGACCGCGATCCCAGCGGCCAAATGGCAGTTTCTGATCACTCAGAAGACCCATATCGAGTTTCCAGCTCAGGTCGGAAGCTACTGCGGCGATATTACGAGGCATAGGTGAGCATCGGCGATGAGCAATCATCGATTAATAAGTTTGGCGTCTTCGAGAGAGACGACGATGAATGATGATTGTGCAGTGAATCAATTGCAAGGAAAATAATAATAAATATAATTGCTACCCATGTAGGAGTGCGTATGCGCGGGCGGTTCGTCCGAGAACGAAAAATATTGTCGTGCTGCTCGATCACGGTGGTGCAACAGGACAACAACAGCTCACCGTGGGGAAGGTGAGTCTGCGTGTAATCGCGAAGAGAGAGCTTCCGTTTGACTCCGTCGGTTCGATAAGGCGAATTGATTTCGCTTCCTGACAACGCTAATTCGCTCTTCCAGGCTATCGCACGATTCTTCGTTCAGAGCTTATCGCCCCAAGATCGAATCGCGGTCATCGCGGTGGCGGATACATGGTCGGCTCCCAGAGACTGCCATATCCTTGAGGCGGCGACCGATGAAACCGTTCACCGGGTTCTCGACTTCATTGAGAGACTGAAACCCGTCAGCAGTGAGTACTCGGGAGAAAATTTGGCAGACATTTGGGACGGGAACCTGTTCCTAGCAAATGGAGAGGTTAAATTGCCCCCGGCTACCGTACCGGCGATTCGCATGGCTGCCTGATATTTTCGAGAAAAGCTCATTCTCACAAATCGAAAAATATACAACATCGATGGCTGCTCTCGAACTGCCTCCAAGATAGGAGGCTCATCGCAGCGCCATGGATGGTCCTTGTTCAGGAGGTTATTGTTCGAGATTTGATTCCAATGAAGTGGACTGACGAACAGCTCAAGAGATGCTCAAGCCTATCTTTTCGAAGCTCTTTCTCGCGCGTTTCGTCGACTGTCGCTGCTTATGCTCGTTGCTATCTCGAGAGAAATCATTGTCTTCGTCCCGTGTCCACAAATAGAGGTCGACCATGGGACTGCTTGCGAGACCATGTTGTCGCCTGGAATTTGCGTGCTCTGCGCGCATCGACACGCACAGTAGAGCTGTGGGAGCCGAACCAGATTATCGGGGAGCCAAGCACGGGGCTCATATCCCTTGCGACGATGTAGAAAAATTGGGCTCCCCTCATCGGGAACCTATTCTCCGAGACCGAATTCCGGTTCCGGACGTGAGCGGCTCTCATTGTCCGATGATTCTTCATTTCGTTTCGGAAGAGCCGATGCGCGTAGAGCTCATCAAATGGAAGCGGCAGCGAGGAATTCCTGAAGGATGTTCGTTGAGAAAACGTCCTGGTCCGGATCTTAGGACTCAAGGCCGAATGCAAATCCCCTTCCAGACAACACCAATCACCGGGAAGGCTTCGCTCAGGCCTTCGAGTATTTGAGACGGACTCGTTCACCGAGTGAAGACGGTCTCGCCGACGCTCTGATCGCGTTCATATCCGTGGGGAAACTTTCACACCTCAACGATCGAAAAGTATGTTTCTTGCGTCCGGAACAGATAATCTCGAGATATGATCAATTGTCTCGTCTCGCAATTACTAAAAATAAAACCGTTTATTCGAAGGATATCTTGAACTTCGTGAACCTCAGACGACGGGAGCTGAAATCCTACCGGGTGATCATCAACACGTACATGCTTGGAGATCCTAAGAAAAGCATTGTTTTCGCCCAAGACTACCTCAAGGCCATCGCAGAGACGGCCGTTGACCCTCAAAGCTCACGGGGGTAAGATAAGCAGAATTTCATAGAAGACTCACGAGCGCATCGAGCGAGGGGTTCTATCTCCCAAATCGATTCATTCATGATCGTTCGATTCTTTCGAAATCAATACTCAAAAGAAAACACCTCGATTTCAGCGGACGGGCCTACGTTGTGAATTCGACGGACATGCTGATGTCGACAGCTGGTCAGTTCGTCGAAGCCTTCCTGCCGAGTGAGGTTTTCCCACCACTGAACTACTCAACGCCTTGGTTCGAGCCGATCACCCGGCAGCTCATGGTGACCGTCGCGCTCCCGATCCGTCTGAGAGGAATGAACTCGATCCCCGACGGTGTGCTCGGAGTCGATCTCCCATTGCAGTATTTCGTTGAAGACTTTCAATTACCCGAACAAACACCGGACCGCTTTGCCTTCATGGTCAACACCGACACCGGACACGTAATGTCGCATCCGCATTTCGTGCCGAGCAAAGCCGTGGCTCTGGAAGCAGCGCCTCCACTCATAAGCTCGCTGGAACCCCAGCTCCCACCGCTGATGATGTATAGGAAAACTCGCATCGATCTCTTCGATGCTGAACCTATGCAGTATTCGTGGCGATTTATCGAGGGAACGCCTTTCTCGGTTTTCGTCGCGTTCAAAATATCCGGGCGTTACGCAGTAACTCTCAGGAGCGTAATCCCGCTTAAAGAAATCGCCGCCCGGAACCTGATCTATCACCGGCTGGACCTTCTCCCTCATATACCGAAGTGCCTCTACGGGGGTCAAGTCTCGACGATGCAGGGTTTCGGAGTTTTCCTCAGCCCTACCGCCTTCGCGAGTCCTTTCTCGCACCTCAACAGCGAGGAGACGAAACAGAGCGTGCGCGACCTGACAAAATTCATTTTCGACCGCTCCAACCTCATGGGGAATCCGGGAATCGTCAAACAGCACATCAAGGAGGAAATCCGACTCCTGGCCTACCTCACCAAAGATTGGAATTTGATGGCTCCTCAGGATTTTATGGTACGACGTTACGTCGCCAGTAGCAAAGGTGTCGTTATCAGTCAGCCAGCGACGATGGTCCCGAAGAGATTCGACCCAAGTACTCGGGAATGGTTCGTTCACGCCGCGGATCTCCGTGACAGGACCGTGATCACAGGGCCGTATCTCGACGTGGCTGGTTACGGTCAGATCGTCACCGTCAGCCGAGCCTACGTGAAACAGGATAACGTCATCGCGGTGGTTGCGATGGATCTGAACGTTGGATACTTGAATAAACTGATCACGGACCTGTTCCCCGAGTGCGACACGCGGTCCACCGGCTGGGCGGAGACGTCCTGCTTCCTGATGGACAACAAAGGATACGTGGTCTCGCACCAGACTCTGGTCGATCCGACCATTTTACAGCACACGGCCAAAACCCCGATCGAAGAGCATCACATCGCTCACAAGGAACCGGCTATTGCGAATGAGATCCTAAGCTTGAAGAACTTTTCCAAGAAATCCGCATGTGTCTCACCGTCGGATCGGAGCGTGCAGCGAACCTACGATCTGAGACTGTCGCTAGCGAATGCGCTCCCAAACTTGATCTCGGGCGAACTATCTTGCAAAAAGTACCAAATATCGGCCGTCTCCCACACAAATGTGTTCCTGGGCCTAGTCAACAGAACCTGCGAAGGCGTGCACGCGTTCACCCCTTGCGGCGTGGTGAGTAACGAGCGAGTTTCCATTCCTCTTTTGATCGCGGATTCCATCTGCTCTCCGACCGTCGCATTAAACGAAGACCTTCTCCGCTTCCAGAATGACAGGGGCTGCCTCAACTGTAAGCGGATGGCGCAGGAGGACCCCGAATGTCCCTGCGAGTGCAGCATCGGTGACAATTGGGGCTCGGACGAGATGCTATGCAGTAGCGATTCCTCGCCATCGGCCGATATCCGGGATCTGGATCTGTGCCCCGCGTGGTTCCGAGCTCAGGACACTATCTTACCGAACTTCTCTTCGCTGCAAGACACGCTCTTGCCTTGCTCCGAGGCCAACTGTCCCGCTAAATCGAATCCGAGTGAATGTTTCGGTGAGCGTTTCTGGAAGTGGTAACATTCTTTGGACGGTATTCAAATGAAGATGTCCAGCATCCATCGCTGAAATGACTCAGCAACTAATTGAAGTCCTTTCCCACAGAGCTATCCAGCTGTTCGTGGTGTGTGGCGAACTTGGCTCGTGTCCCCCTCGATCAACCCAATTGTCTGCCGCAGAGTTCTTGTTACGGCGGAATTCTGAACGGTCCGTCCCCATATGACTCTTTGGTCACTTTGCAGATCCTGGTGAGTTGGGCTATCAGTTTTCTCTGCTCTCCGATGCCAGGAGACAGCCTTCGTCAAAAACCCTAACTAATTGTATGCCAAATTCGTCCCGTGGGGTAGGGACTCTAACCCGTCTTGCCTGGCGAATCTCGAAGTCCAGTCGCCTGTCCGGAGTTGTGTCCTCGAAGCTTCAGATCTCGACCTAACTCCCGAATCGTCGCTTTTTCGTTCCAGGAACAACTCAATCCTAACTTCAGCGAGCAGTCCGCAAGTGTAGGGAAAGTGTTTGGTCCTGTTCTCGCAGTCAGTAAGTGGGCTACCGAAGTCAGCGAATTCCACCGCAGACTTCCTAAATCACGTGACTCTTCCCAGCATGCATGAGCGTATATTCACGGAGTCGTTTTTCAGTGGTCGTGATCGGTGTGGTTATCGGCGTGGCCAAGTTCACTTGCAAAACCGAAGACTCCCCGTACTCCTATCCGGGTCGGGATCAGAACATGCCCCTCTGCCTGCCATCCGATCTCGATGTTGATCAGATCACCAACCAAACTCAATCTGCTGGAGTGCAAGCGAACTTGTTGCTCAACTCCTATGGATCAGCCGTCGCGGGCTTGGGCTCTCCGTATCGCTACCCGGGTCAGAGCTACCGCATTCGGCCCACGGCTCCGGAGTCGGACTTGGGCTACTCTTCGACAGTGACACCGTCGACAGAGACGGCTCCATCGCGTAATTTGCGGCGTGCCACCAGTTGCTCAAGCGGCCGCGCCAGTTCCCCGAGCGAATGTTCGTCGAGCACCGCCGACGTTAAGAAAATACCCTCAGTCATCACAACCACGGCTCAGATTCATTTCAGTGAAGCTGATCTGAATAAAGAGACGTCAGTTAAGAAGGACACCGTAATCAGCGAGAGCATAAAAATGAAGGAGGAAATCGAGAATGGCGCAGACAGCGAAATGCTCGCGAATACAGCCGATCTCATTGAAAACTCTGCGCCGCTCGCCGACCTCGTTTGCTGAGAACGACGGTCGATCTCCTCGTGACTTTCATGGGATGGAGCTCGATCCTCAGATCATCATCGAATAATGTACCTGACCGATGGCATCGCTTTAGAGATGCATATACGGAAGTGTTCAGCAATACGGCTCTTTACAATCTGTACATATCAGCCATAGTAGGTAATCACGAAGTGCCATGGTAGTTCTGCTAGGTAGCTGCAATGTACTTGTTAATGTTGTGAAGGATCAATTGCTTCTCTCGATCAAGCAGAATTACCGATCCTTCGATCAAGTGTTCACAGAACAAAAATGACAGAAGAACCTTCGATATTCGCATCTAAACAGGGTGAATTCAATGTCTCCCCTGGTTCGCATGGCCGATTCCCTTCGAAGGATTTTTTCATCACTTTCATATTGAAGTTCCTCCACCCCTCCTCGTTTCTAGTGCTCCAAGTGCCGAATTTTTTGTTCAAGCTGCGATATTTGGTTCGCAACTTGATTCGATGCTTGCTGTCGCGTCCGAGGGGTGTCCCCTATCTGTAAAGGAAATATTTCACTCGGGAGAAATGCATTTAGACCCAGAGTCCTTATGAAAAAATGCTCAAGCGGTTGTATATAGGTTTCAAGATTAGTGCGGTTGTGCCACTTGTCGAGTTTTTTCTCCGTATACGACTTTCATTTGCTTGACAAGTTCTCATGGATTGCGCGAGATTACTCGTTCTACATACTTATGGAGGAAAAAAAGCTTGATGTCGAAGAGTCATGAAAAACACTATTCGTGAGCTCATGTACAATAAGATCAGGTTGTGTTCGCGCCTCTGATGACGGTTCCGTTGTTACCATGGCTTAATAAAATCCAAATCGATATGACGATTCTTGACTTTCTGGCATTCCCTTTTATCGGGCTCAATGATCGGGATGCGCCGAACAGAGAGCGTGGAAGGGGCTTAAGCTTGCTTGATTCTGGTGGCCGGCAGGATAAGAGCGGAAATTCTCAGATCAGGGTACATTATTCAGTCCTCGACTTCTTCTTTCGTCTCGAATTTGCGACTTAGCTCAGAAACGATAGGTGGATTCCCAGTGAAAGCGATTCAGAAACGGAGCCTGGAACTCGTGTCGCTCCCCGAAATCCAGAATGCACTGGAGGTGGATTTCGACTTTCTGCTCTGTTTTCTGAAAGATGAAATCTCGCGTGAAGTTTCTCAGTCCTCATTTTCCGGGGAAAAGTCGTACCGTTCTTCAGCTCTTGGGGCTCCTTGCAACGAGCTCATGCTGTACTCGATTCGATCCTTTCCCCGGTGCGTTTAGTTCGCTTGCTTTTCGTGGTCTCGAAGCTTGGCACCCTGCGATCTGCGAATCGCAAGACCTCCACGGCTCCGAACTCTCTTCTGCTCCGAGTGATAGAGCAAGACCGGATCGCGACTTGAATCAATGCCAAACCTTCGAGATAGTCCTTGGGATTGGTTCTGATTCTCAATTCACGTTCGCGAGAAGCTCTCCGGGAAGAAATGATTCCTCCACGAAACGTGAATTTCGCTGTTCGGGGCTATACTGGAGAATCCGATGAGTACTTCGGCATAATTTTCGAGCCAGACAGAGGCGCTTTGTTCCAGATTCCTCACAAACGGAACGAATGCTCTGACCGAGACTGTCGTCGTGAAGACAGCCCCAGGTACGCAACTTCATTCTGCTGTCCGCCACGGAAGCCTTTCCCTGTGGGATTTCCTGAAGGAACCGAGGGATTAGAGTGCGTCGCAGAGGTTGAACTTTATTCTATACGCAGCATCTACCTCCGGAATCCACCGTGTGCCTCGGTTTGTGACTTCGAAAGGAGCTCCTCTCTACACTCAGGAATACTCGTCATGTCGAGTATCGAGTTCGTTATCGCTCGAGCTGGTAGCTGACCCAGCAGGAGGGACCCATGGTATTTCGAAATTCCCAGAAGAGACGGAAATTCGATGGAGAGAAGGTTCGCCGCGCCGGTGGGAGATTCTTCGAAGAACCTCGAAGCGTGGTGTGTGCGCATCGACTGCTCGCGCATCAATTCTGAACAAACCACCGTCACATTTGACAGTTGCGACACGTATAACCATATGTTCGCGAAGTCCTGCGAGGTTCTCTGGAGCGCACTCCAAGATCGGCCCGAATTTCAATTTGTGTCGGCAGTCAGGCCATCATTTCTTGATTGCCGTCGGATCTGGGTATCGCTCGCAATCCAAGCGGCCAGCAGCGCCTCGCTCCGAACTCGTCGAGGATTTCTTCGCTATTTCCAGCGGAATTGGATGTTGAGCTCAGATCTCGAATCCAATGGTTCGCGAGATGCTGCGCGCTTTCTTGATCGGGAGTATTATTTGTGCAGCTCATTGTGTGCCGGTCGGGCGCGAATATCTTGCAGATTCATTGGAATGGTAAGTTCTTCCTCAAGTTCATATGAAGGACCTGCCTAGCGAGATTACCTCTGTGTGATATCTGCTTTCTGTGGCTTCAAGGTCGGAAGAATCAGTGCAGGCTGATCTGAAAACAGTTGTGGAGCAGAGATTAGAGCGATTCTTCAGAGGCATCAAATATTCGGAGTGTGTTGTGTCGAAGGAAAGAGATTTGTTGATCACGGCTGTAAAGGGCCTCCTGAAAGCCTCAAAAGAAGTGCGGGAGAACAAAGACGTCGTCGCATCTCTCGAGGAACTACAAGTCAGTGTCCCCGAGAGGGAATGACATCACTGCCCCCTGAATGCCCATTAATTCCTCGCTCTCACGGTTACCGGACCTATACGCGCATTTGTTCCCGCCGCAGGAGATTCTCGAAGGGAACGCTCGGATGGTGGTCGAAAGCTCCAGGGACATACAAGGACTTCTCGAATTCAAGAGCAGATTCGCGGATATCATGTCGATGTCACTCGGATATCCCGGCGTCACGAATTTCATCAAGAAAATTTATGAAATCCAGAGGAGGGCCCCGACTATCTTTGTCCTTTTGGACAAGATCAAGAACATCCCGATGGACATGTTGAGAAACTTCGACTATTTCGCCTCTGTGAAAAACTGTGCGGCGGATATTCGAAGACCACCGGTTCCGACCTGAATGGCAGGATTGAATGGTCTCCCTGCTATCTGCGCGATCATCCGCTATTTTCCAGTCACTAGCTAGGCGAAATTCGAGAGACAGCCGTGAGTCCCTGAATTCGACGGGCGACAGAAGTGAAAACAAAATGTCCGCGCCGGAATCCCCACCGCCAGAATAAATGAATTTTTCTCAGCAATCCCAAAGTTTCGACTTCGATCTTTAGGAATCAGCTCTTGAGGAATCCCTCCATCATCATTTCTTACAAATCACTGATAGTTTGCCCTTGCGAGGCTGAGCTTGCGGCCTGCTGTCGTGGTAAGTTCCCACCCCCTTCTCCCCCATCCTCGCTCGATAAATATTCCTCATCCTAACTCAATGTGAGAGAGGCCTGCTTATTCGATCAACTTTTTATTGCTTAGTTCTACTTAATGAGTTTAGAATGGCTAAATCAATCCGCTGTGTACAGTTTTTCTACAATTCTCCTCAGAGATAGCGTCCTCATTGTGTGTCGTGTCCATGAATTTTCCGCCTGTGAGTTTGAAGATTAGCTTTCAATGAAAACTGCTTCTCGCAGAGGTCACATTGGAAGTCGCGTTGGCCGTTGTGCACCAATTGATGTCGCGTGAGATCTCCTTTCTGAAGGAAACGCTTCCCGCATAGATTGCACTGTGGAGGAACGATGGAAAATTTAATACATTCCCGCAGAGGTCGAAAGCCGATAGAAATCTATCGCCAGATGAGGGGCTCATCGACAACTGGAACTCACAGGGAACGGTTTATTGCCACCGTGTGACCGTAGGTGTTTCCTCAAGCTCGCAGGTTGCGCCAATCGCTTCCCGCACACCTGACATTCAAAATCCAAAGGTCCATGTCTGAGCATGTGGTTTGTCAGATTTGATTTGACAGTGAATGCGTGCCCGCAGATCTGAAATGTTGAGCGAGTGGTCCACCATCATACCGATACATTGTAATCAATCCTTTCAGAATCTGATCCGTTGGAGGCAGGGCACGGATGCCGGCTCCGAAAATGAGTATCGATCGCGGGGAGCACTCAACCTAAATAATCTCAACTCACGTGACATCTATAGGGCTTGACGCCCCTGTGAGCCATGACGTGGTTCCTCAAATCCGTCGTATTGTAGAACGGCTTCGAGCAGGTAGGGCACGGTCTCGCTGCCGTTGCATTGTGGAAAGTTCGCATGTGGTACCGGTGCTCCGTTCCTGAGGGGAGTTTCAGACATTTTTGGTGCGCCGCGACACGAAGACGCTTTGGCTTAGACGATCGAGGAACTATCCCTCGGGTCGAGAGATCACTTACAGGAAACGATGACTCACCTGCGTCGAATTGCAATTTGCATATATGGCATACATATTTTGTCTTTTTCTCGTCGGTCCCATTGTCTTCTTCGGTGATCTCGGCACCGACGGCGGTTGAGACCGGTTCAGGCTCAATGCTTTCCCCGCCTGGAAATGAGGATGAGGTTCCAAATGCACCAAATCTACATTTGCTCTCATGATATCCTTGACATCCTGAGACGACTCAAGCTCTGAAAGTGATTGAGCGGGTTGAGGATCACCTCACGGGAGATCTGCATCCAATGAACTCACCGATTACCACTTCGCTCTCCTCTTCCGTGCTCTCCTGTACCCTATTCGGTCTGACATAGTAAACTACAAGACCGCTAAGAAGTTCTTGTGAGATTTTCGACGCCTCTTTTCGGGCGTCCTCCTCATTGAGACCTTCTTCGACTTCTTCCTCGTCGTTTTCCGGGCTGCAAGTGCCCTCGAAACCTTGGCTGACGGCTGTCGAATAATGAATTTTCCACATGATTTGTTGTGAGCCATTTCGATTGGGGAACTATCCAGGATGCTGATACAGGATGCGACTTGGAGAAAAAGATCGCTTACGCTTCAGCACTACTTCCTGTGTCTCTTCCTTCTCGCCGGCTCCGGAAACCTCCTTCACAACGCGGAGTATCAGCGGCCTCGTGGTCCCCTGAGCAACTGGAATGATCGAGGAATGCGAACCTGAATCTTTTGAGACTATTTTCGTTTGCGGGCCTCTCCCCCTGCCTCCGTCCCGGAAACCTTCGATTCCGTAAGAGATGCTAGGGTATGGACTCTTACTCTTTACAGGCGATAATGTCTGTATGACGGTTCCCGAAGCTGGCGCGTATTCACAACTCATATCAGTGTATTCGCTGTAGGTCCCGTCGTCAACGTAGGCTTCTTCGACGAAGTTCACAACTTGCCGGAGTCCACTTCCGCCCGGCTGCATGTTATTTGCCATGATCGCTTACGTGCCGGAGACCCTCTCCTAGCGACGGGGCACTGGAAGAATTGACTGCGTTCAGAATATACCAGGAATCAGACAAGAGGCCGCATTCAGGGAGAGGTGGAAATTCGTAGCAGGCAAAGCAGACCTAAATATACAGCTTAGGCATGAACCACGTGCATAGAAACAAATTATTTTGCGTCCTTCAGCCTCTCCGAATATTCTAGAAAGTTCTGGATGAGGAAGGTAACTCCAAAAAGAGCACATGAAAGACTACGCGAAGCCTCTAGATTTCTAGATGGAGCTGGGTGCGAATCCCGAGCCACGAGAGTTAGGCGACCTATTCCACGGTGGTTCCAGTTCCTAATTGAGACGGGCTCTTGAGGTGCACAGGAGCGGATACAAGTCAAGGAAGGGAAGAGATCGAAATCCAGACACCGACTGGTTTAATATTCGAGCTTTAATGACAACAGATACATATTTCCATTCTTCGCATTTGATCCGAGATCCACAGGCAATAAGAAGTCGCGAGATTCACTCGTTGCTATACACATTCGCGTTCCTCCGTTTGATCGTCTTCCCGCTCGGAGTTTGACTCGTCAATGTTGTGGAGACAATATTCGAGCTCTCGGTCCCCTCCTGCGAATCATCATCGCCATCTATGGTCAGTCCAGGCGAGCCCCTAGAGCTCTTCCCCACAAAAGCTTCTAGCCCCCGCAACTCCGAATTCTCAAGATGCGCTTCTTGCCCTCTAAGCTTCTTCAAGAATATTTCTGTCTGTGGGTTGTCGTATGCCCGCAGGGGCGCGTCGGGTGAGTTCGGGTCATGTGGCGGAGCTGTTTGCTCGAAATTTTCAGGTACGATGAGATCGGATTGCCACTCTTCAAGCAGGTCAGACACCTCGTCCTGACCGACGAAGGTGTCGTCGCCATTCGGGAGATCGTAGCAGGTCGAACGAGAAGTACTCTCGAAGCGCAATGTTTTCTTCAGTATGCAGAGCCATTCCGCATCGTAGCGGAGAGGTCCACTCTCACCCGGTAGCTCGATAACTTGAAGGAAATCCCGATTCGGGAGGCATTTGTCCAGGGCGAGAAATCTGGTGGATGAACCGTCGGTATGGGGAACGAGGGCGGTGAAGCGGACATGTAAATGCGCGGAGAAGAAGTACCGAGGTTTAACGGTGTCGAGTATTTTCCTCGTCGGTGGAGAACCCAATCTCCCCGAATCCAGGTCTTCGTTGAAGAAAGGTTTCTTTCGACGCAGCCACTGCTCGTTTCCATACGCAGTTATTCCTGTCGGCCAATCGTGCGACATCATAACGTCGACTTTCCTCAAGCCGCAAAGTCTCAGAACATCCAGCGCGCGGATGTGATAGACAGAGTGCAAGGCAGCCGTGTCATAAGGAACTGTCTCGTATCGACCTTTCATGTAATCTATGCTTTTGTAAATGCCCGAGATGCCAGCCACCCGGAGGTCTCCGATACGATAACATCCTGCTGTACCAAGGTAGTAGATATTAGGCGCGAGCCAGCCCCCGTAACGGAGTTCGTCGAAGTAGGAACTGGCTTCATGATTGCCTCCAATGACCAAAGTGAGAACCGGTGCCACTAGATGACCACTATAGTATTTGTGGAAATCGCACATCTGACGATATTTCGGCGGACAGGCCATGCCGAGTAAGTCACTGCTGTTCCGGTTGGCTTGGAAGTCTCCGCAAATCAACAGAAGATCCAATTTGAAGTTTCCTACAGCCTCAAGCCGTCCGAGGGCCGCATACATCTTCTCTAGCTCCCCATGACCACAACCGGCGACGGCGATTCTCATTTCGGCCGGTCACAAAATCGAAGGAACGATCAAGAAGACGCGGGATGAAATTTTCGAGCAGACGAATCTCACCCGCTTTCTACCCTGCCACGGAGTTTGACATTCGTCGTACGACTTGGGGAAGTTTTCAGGATCGACCTTCTCTCTGGGGATGGATGGAGTACAGTCAAGTCCCGGGAAGTGGAATGGAATTCTGCGGGACCGGGTGGAGAGCCGGAAAATTTCCTCACATCGAATCGACTCTTATCCGTTGCTCACTGGGTTAGGCCTAAGTTAGAAGATCAGGAGTACATAGCACGCGATCCTTGATCCCCGCTTGGGGTTAAGTATTCGGACGTGACAGCTGAAGACCGCACCTCGAAACGGAGCGAAAAATTCGGTCTTGGCCCGGACGGACTCCTCTCATATGCAAAACATACAACGGAGAAAATGCATTTATTTGCTCGATGGATGGCGGAAGAGCTCGCATGGCGATAACTCGCCTGATGGATGCGTTTCTGTTTCAAAACGAGGCCTTCGGACTCGTTTCCGGTCGCCCGAGGTGGTCTTAAAGCGTGTAGAATTCTGCGGAACTAACCTGATGGGCACTGCGTTGATGAAGTTGGAGAAAAATGCCTATCGTGGGTCGAAATACCCAAAATACGGTTTAAAGCTACCTCGAAAACGAGATGTAAACATGGCTTTAAAGCGCGGAGAAGTCGAGCGGTACCGAATGTAGAAGCTCTACCCCCGCGCTCGTCCTGCATGGACTTTTCTCGCTAGATCGCTCCCCGGGACGATTCTGCCTATTTCTTGGAGTTGGATATCCCATCCTAATCGATTGAAGGCTTTCTAGAAAATCGACACGACCCTCATTGAAGACTCTGCTCGAACTCGCGAATGAATGTGATTCGAACCCTGTTCATCGCGTTCCGACCGTTAAGCCTCTCCGCGGCGGCGGCGGGTAGATCAACAACAAAATCATGCCGACGACGACGCGTTTCAAAACAACTGTAAGAAGACAGTGAGAGAAGGAGAGGGGATGAGAGAAGAAAACAGTGTCGTCGTTCAGACACGGACGACGAATCAAGTTCTCTCAGCCAGTCAATTCCGTGTGCTCTGAAAATCGGTAGTAGATATCCACTGGGTGAATCATAGACAAGATTCACGAACAGGATCCATTGCTCCAGTCCCCGCACTCGGCCGTGTCGAGAAGACTCCGTTCGTTGTGAACGACGAAGTTATTTGAACACGAGCTGAGAAAGCTTGAGTTGACATAGTGAGGATAACGTCCAGCAAGTCAACACGCAGGAAAAAGTTTGTATCCCCCGAAAGCGGCATGACATGAATCTGCCTTTCTCTGCTAGGAAGACGAGTAGACCTCGGAAGATTATATCCTTATCAGAACTGTTCAAGGCGTGTTCAGCCCTCCGTCAGTATAAGCTGAGCGGTCTCATGATTTAATAATGTCTCGGATAATATTAATCGGCCATCAATTGCCACCTCTGGGCGCATTGATAGTGGAGCGATACGGGGTCTCGATCCTCGGAATCTCTCAATATCACTTCCGTACAAAGCGAAAGGGGGTGCTGCCTACCTGAGCTCCGTAACGGATTTTGCTCGGGAACGAAGATGAAGAAATTTCTGGCTGGAGGTTCTCGAAGGAATTCCGGAACGGATCGATAACGAGCAAGATCTCGAGCATCCCGAGGTGCCGACCCCGAGCATGGGCTATGAATCTGCTTCCGAAAACATGTCATTCGACCGCGCGAGTTCCGAGATGTTCGCTCCGCATCGGATGTGACAGTTTTTAGTCCGTTCCCTCTCATGTTTCGTTGATCTTGTGAGAAATCGTCGCGGCCACGTTCGGGGATGACCTCTTACAATGACGATGCACCCCATGTCGAATTTTCTTATCTGTAGGACCGAGGGCCTTGTCGGATAGTGAACCCACACTACAACTAATAAGCACGTTGACTAATTGGATCTTCTCCGTCCTCAGGAACAGAAATATGTCAGAAAAAAAGTCGCCGGAGATCGTGGACTTGACGATCGATGTGACCCCTCAGAGACCGACGCGGAAAAGGAAATCAATGTATATCGACCTCACAGTGAGTAGCGTCAGTCGTGTTCGAGACGAGAGCGTGGGGATCTTCAGTCGCTTTTTCTCTTGAGCTTCGTACCGTATCTCAGTCTTCGCGACTGATGTCCGGTGACCTTTTCGCAGACCCCGGACTCGGACCCTCCCTCGCAAGGTGCTCCGGCGGGATCTGCCGGAGATTCTCACCGACTTGAAGTGTTGTACGAATCCCGGTCGACGCCAGTTCCGCCGAGTCGTCGCCAAGTACAGAAACAAGCAGCAGCTCATGTTGACCTTGGTGAGATTTGGTTAGGTTTATCGAATTCCGCGCCTCGAGCTCGAGCTGATTGATCTAATCATCGCCGGCTCCAAGCACCCACCGGAGCTTATGGCGTATTGAGTGGTCAGGAGGAAGGTACCAGCCATCATCCAAGGAATGACGATGATGATTATGATTTTCTCTCCCGTTGAGATGAAGATGTAGCTAATGAGCTCGGCTGGCCGTTATTTCTGAATACTCGACTCTCGATTTTCCCTATCAAGCAGCGGCCGATGATTCGGACAGCGATCTCCCGAGCGTACACATACCAGGAAAGCGGAGCAAGAACAAAGCTCCTGTGGACCCTCCCCTGAACATTCCGTCGTGTTCAGTGTGCCTAGACACAGTCCCAGAGGTGAGATGGCGTTTCCTCTTGGCGTATCTCGAGAGAGCAAGTTCGAGATCCTTCGGTGATGATCTTGTTCCCCCACGAGCCGGCGCGGCATCAAGTCCCCTGTTCACGAGTGTGGAATTCCTTGCAGCTTCAGGCCAACAATGTTGATCTAATAGTCATGACGAGCTGCAGCCATTTCTTCTGCAAGCCCTGTGCGGATGCATCGCTGAAGATCTCCAAGAAGTGCCCGCGCTGTCGAGTAGCGGTGCGGGGCAAATCACCCTACAAAAAGTTGTACTTCTAAGCTGCGTTTTCGGCACAAGCTCGATCTCGGGTGATAACGGACTAGTTGTCTGGAGCGATCTGATTGACAAATGATTGATCAGGAACCAGAGCTGGGGTAGAGAAGTTCTTCTTCCTCCAGGAATCGCTGCATCAGCTGCTCTCTCCCCCGAGTTGGAGGCCCTGCGTTCTCGTTGTGTGAAAACTGCTTGGAGGAGCATATGAAGGCACTTTATGCTCCATTCTTGTACATTCACATCTCCATATTACGTTGCCAACGGACTCAGGTATCAAGATTCGATGGAACGTATCCCGAGAATAGTCAAGTTCTGTACATTTCTCTTCCCAAACTCACCTCTGGATCGCGAGAATATCCCGGAACCATTCTCCCTATTCGAGCTATGATGATGACACTAAATCAAAATATTTACGATAAGGTGAGGCCAACTGTAACGCCGATATGCGGTGGTATCAATTCGGAAAAATAAAGTCAATCATGTACGCTATGGAAACGAATCCGTTTTAACAAATATAAATCGTCCTCTGAAATTATTGGGTCATTCATCGATATGAGCGCTTTGTTGACAAAGCTCGATAGCTCTCCCCGGCTCGGGGTATAATTTGCATCGGAAATGAAGATTTCCGGAAGAACGCAATGATCCAGGATCATGACTCATGACTAGAGCTCGGAGGTTTCGGCACTGAAAAATCTCAGAAAAGGCAGGCAGAAAGGCACTGAAAACCCTCGAAAAAGGCACCGAAACTAGGCAAAATAGGCGTTATAGGCAGGGAAACAAACGCATCAAAGCGTCCATCAGTGTCGTATTGTGAGAATTTCATGTGGTAACATGGATTCCCATCGGTGGGAAATCGACGCCAATCTGATACGAGCATTTTGAAACGACGATTTTCTTTGCGCGCTCTGGTGGAGCTTCGGAACTTGTCGAAAGCAAGATTTGCTCCTGGAAACTAGGTTCGCCGACCTCATCTTATCACCATTCTCAATAAGAAACCCTCAGTTTCCCCCGAAATCCTCGGAATTCGCCCCCTCAGAAGCTCGAAAAGGTACTCTAGGCACAAAACGAAGGAAACAGGCATTTTGCATCAAAAAAAGCCGAAAAAAACAGGTATCGGCATTTAAGGCACAATGCCTGAAGTTCCGAGCTCTACTCATGACATCATAGGAGCATTGATAGCAGCCAGGCTTTCATGGAGCTGGAATCATGCGGTTTCGGGTCGCTCCGGATTAATCAAGATTCCAGGAGCCGAATTGTATTTCCTTACAATCAATAAGTGAACTTTTTCTCGACAGAAAAATCTCGATCAATTCTTCAGAGCAATCCTGGATCGGATAGCGGTTGTCGGTCCACTGGACAAGGTTCCCTTAGCAGAATTTGAATTCATGCATCAATTCTCCCCGAAGTTCGGGGTTACTGTTTCAATCGTGGAGCAGCTTTCTCTTGCTTGTGCGATCACTTGTCCGAACTTGCTGACTTTTTTAGTGTTCTCTTCTCGAGAAATATGTCTCGCTCGAGCCGTTTCTTATGCCAGCCCTCCGTCGTACGGGCCCCTTGTTGTACCGGCATTCAATGAAGCTATAATTCCGCGTAACGGTGAAGTGTTCAAGCGTTTGAAAGGAATACAATATACAATCGAGTACGTCAAAGTTCCAAGTGGTATCGTATAGTTTATTCGACTTCGTTGTCCTTGTCTATTGAGTAGGCCGCGCGTAGACGAGGCGAGCTGTCGCTACGGGCTACGGTGCTCACCTGAACCCTCATCAGCACTCATTTTATACGAACGCATGTTGGGCGGGGCTTATCGACTAGGTCTTGATCCGCTCCCCTGGAGTTCAGTGCTTCCCGAGCTTTTTAACTCCCACAAGCCTTCGGCTGGTCCGCGGGGGTTACGCGGAACCCCACAGCACCATTTCCTGAGCTATTCCTAAATGCACAACTGTCCTTCTAGCACAGCGAAACATCGATTCCCATCGATGGAGGTGCACCGGATCGGAACACAAGAATAAAGCTCAGTTCGGAAGAAATAAGAAAAAATTGGGTAGACTCATAGCTCATGGCTCAAAGGAGCCTCACGGACGCCCAAGGCTTCCACGGAAACAAGATCGGAAAAACACTGACTCCGGAGCGAGTCATCCCCGCATTCTTCGGTGCAGTACAATGATTCCAGAAAGCCTCGAATTTTTTCACGAATCGCTCCGAATACACGCAACTACTTTGTCTACATGCGCACCCTGCTCGTGAAGCGCCATCGACAACGAAGTCCCATCCGGGTCGCGGGTCGCGCATGTCAGCGCTCTCGCTGCAGCCGCTGAGAGATCCTGACATGACGCGCGGCGTGAGGTTTTTCAGGAGATTGAAGCCTCTTCAATCTACTATCGAGAATTCTATCTTTCACAGGAAGCTGCTCTCTGCTATCTTTCATTCACGATCACGATCTCGAACAAGTCGGTTCCAGAAAACCAATTTCGACCTGATTCCCCCCTCCCCTGCTCCCATTCTCCGACTCTCTAAAGTCTGTCACATTGCGCCATCGCTTCCGTTCAAGCCCTCTACGGGGAGCGAGGCCGGAGGCTGCGTTTCCTAGGCCTGGTCCATGAGGAGCGATGACTCGATTTGAACTGGAGGCTGAAGCAAATGTAGACTGCGAGACGTGCCTCAATCGTCTTCTTGTATGAGTCAAACCGCCCCCTTGTTTCTGGGTTTTGGCTCACACGGAAATAGGCTCCAACAATTCGGGCCTTCCACAATTCGGCCTGAGTCCGGTCAGGACTTGGGTTCGCTTTCCCGTCCATCATAGAGTGCGTGTTGAATCATCGTGCATCGGATATCGAGCCATTTCGAACTATTTGGAAGATATCCGACCCGTCCTGGGGCGATCAAGATCATCATTCTGTCTCCACCTACCCCCTAGGATATTACCGTATCTCCTCTGATCTAGCGACACCTTAAATGTGAACTTACTGGGGATCCTGTAAAATATTTCCCTCATGAGTCATGAGCTAGCTGGGTCACTCCGAAAATCCGAACCATCCTATGGCTCTCCCTTTTGCGCCTTCGAAATGGAGTTGATGATCGAACGTCTCCAGTTCTCGAAGACAGCCCAGAGCCGGGTCGACGGCGGAATTCCGGTCAACGTCTCGGGTACGGCAGCTCCCATGGACAATGCTGGGAATCCACACATACCCGAAAGATTGGTCGGGTTGCTCCGCTGCCGAAACGGTGCAGGGTGTCACGTCTCCCGGGAGATTCCGCCGATTCCAGGGCCTTCTAGATTCCGCTGGAAATACCTAATCAAGGAACTTCGGGACAGGCTGAAACTTTTTAAACCCACACGCCCGCGTTGACAACTGACAGTTACACAGTCACGCCTCCGGCCGATTGATGGGTTCCGGATCTCCTAAAGAGGGGCTGACAAGGAATGTGTCAGAAGTGTCCCATCGCTTTTCGATCCAAATCATGCTTATTGTGCTCGACTGAGTGCGGAATGAAAAAGTGTAGTGCGGTTCCCCTGCTTAGGCCCTCGTTCAGTTTTTACAGCACATCGAAAATCACGGTTTTCGGCCGAAAGTATGTCATTTTTGCATGCTCCCACGATCCGTAAGGGTCGAGACTGTTCACGTCGACATTGCTGGCGCCGATGACAAGTTGTCTCTTTCTGCGAATATTGAGCACTCTAGTTGACAAGGAACTTATTCTCGAGTGATTCCCAAAGAATTGACCATTCCTCAACGTATCCCGTAGAAATCTGACGGGAGCACCCAAAATACGCCGGGGCGGCTGGGATATGCTGGTGTTTAAGTGGCCCTAAGGGTCGAACGAATGAATTATTGTTCGCCGGGAGAAATTCGGGGCGCGATCGCGAAAAGAACATTCCGATGCAACAAGAGTCATGATTTTGGGGCTCAGGAAGCGTTAAGACACCGACATATTAGGAAAAAGGACGGTTTTTCGGCCAAAAACCGGGATTATCGGTATTCTGTAAAAACTGAAGTGGGGCCTGCAGGGGAACCGCACTATACTTTTTCATTCCGCACTTAGACGAGCACAATGAGCATGATTTGGATCGAAAAGCGATGGAAGACTTCTGACACATTCCTTGTGCTTGTGAGTATGTCTATGTTAGGCTGGAGGGTTTGGAAACAGCTCTCTTCCGTCGGTGCGGCGGAGCTTCCCAGGTTATCGAGACAGTACCGAAGACTTTCGGAGTCGATCATCGGGAGGCCGAGGAAGACTGCGTGACTGTGAACGGGCTGAAGCGCGTCCACCTCGATCTGCTGGCTCCGGAAAGGTCGTGGCTACAAGGAATTGCTCAGGCAGAGTGAGCCGGCTACTTCGATGGGTACCGAGCTGACAGAAACCCTGGCGGAAAGCGTGCGGCGGCCAGCGTCCTCACGCGTGGCATAATCAATAGGCGGAGACAACGTAGTAGAATGAACTCTTCCTCTCTGCGACGCCGACGTACGTACCTAGTCGGTCGTACTTCTTTCGGTGGTGGACACCACAACGGTAATGACGGAATAGAACGCAAAGAATTGTTCTGGGCAGAGCGGTCCTCTCTGGGGGGGAGTGGAGAGATTTTTCGGAAGGATCGATGCAACCCGATCGGAGGGGGGTGATGTTTAAGTCCGTGTGGCCGCATCAAGGTCAAGCAGGATCATTCAGGAACGATTGAGCCATGGGATAGACTTGCTACTTCTCGTGAGACGGATCCAACCACGAAGCTCATCAGCAGTCTAAACAATTCGTTATCGATAGGGCTGGGTATTTGTAGCGGTGATTCCGTGAAAACCCCGTGCCAAAAGCCGCGGCATCGGGTCGCGGTACTCTCAGAGAGAACGCCGCGACTTTTTCGCGGCCGTGAATTATTTGCGGACATCGTCGCGGAATTTCACGGCAATTATGTTCATCGCGCTCTCTCGAACTATTTTTTAGCTCATACAATCATTTCATCTTCCGAATCGATCCCCTCTGGGAAATGAAGGAATGATTCGAAAAAACCGCGACTTCGTCGCTCGAATTTCATCGAATCATCGTGGTCATTGGTCATTGGTCATTCATCAAAACGGAGAAGAGGCCGAAGTGCTTTTGTCGAGAAATAGCAAATAGTATCCCGTCTCAGCCGTCAATGTCTCTAGAAGTCACAAAAAGCTCGCTGCAGTCATGGAGGACACCTACGCAATCAAGAAAAATTTCAAAAACTAGCAACGCGAATAAGGCCTGAGGATCGATCGAAGCAATTTGAAGACGGCACGTTCCGCGTAGATACGGGCCGCTTACTGTGCAGTGTTTGCAATGTGACGGTGGATTTCACTCGTAAGCACACCTGCTTGAAACATCTCAATAGCAATACTCATAAGCGGAGAAAAGAACAGCAAGTGTTCGCCAGTGCGAAGAGAGCTAGTTTGGAAAATCTGGATGTTTCTACGGGTGGGACGAGCGAAAGGCAAGTTTTCCTGACCGGACTCGTCGACGCGTTTGCCGGAGCGAATATCCCTTTACACGCACTCGACAATCGAAACCTGAGGAGCTTCCTGCAAGCCAATTTCAATTCTGAGACTATTCCCACGGCAAGCCATCTCAGGCGTTTCTTTCTGCCGAAAGCTTTTGAGGCTCATTTCATAGCTCTGAAACGGTGCTTGGCGAATCGGGGAGCCCTCGCGATCGTCTGCGATGAAACGACCGATGCCGAGGATCGCTACATTCTGAATGTGCTGGCCGTTCCGTCATGTGAGAAACAGGGTGACAAACTCGACGCTCTCCTGCTAGAGTGTGTAGTTCTCGAAAAAACCAACTACAAGACAGTCAGCGAAGCCATCCTGCGCGTTCTGTTCAAGTATGAAATACCCACCCTGAAAATCAGCGCCTTCGTGACTGACAATGCGGCGTATATGCACAAGGCCTGGAATTGTTCATTGCGACCCGTGCTCCTGAATTGCGTGCATGTCACATGCACTGCTCACATTTTGAATCTGATTTGCGAAGTGTGGGTGTCGTCTTTCCAGGAGACGAACAGACTCGTCAGCGCCATCAAGAAAGCTTTCACAGCATCCCCCGCGCGCAAGGCACGGTTCAAGCAATTTCTCCGCGAGAAAGGCGCACCGCAAAAGCTTCCACCTGCACCAGTGCTGACGAGATGGAACACTTGGTTCGGTGCCGTACTGTATCATGCAGATCATTTGGAGGACTACTCAGAATTTTTTTCGCGGGAGCTCGGGAGTAGTGCAAGCTCAAATACGTCCGAAATAATCATCCTGTGTGGCAGCGTCGACGTTCGGCAACAACTCGATCAACTGAGGATATACGCGCCCCATCTCATGGCCATACTGAAGAAGTATGAGGGAACCGACATAAAGGCGCATCTCGTCATCGATGACCTCACTCAGCTAATCGAGTGGTTCGACGCAAGCTACACGGACACGGAGAATCTCGCCTGTACGGCCACTGCTTTGAGGAAGTCATCGCGGAAATTGCAGAGCTACATTTGCGCAGACAGCGCTGAAAGATTCTGTCAGCCGGCAGCCTTTTTCTTTCGAGCTTGCAGGGTGTTCGATCCTTCGAGAGCTAAAACCCTCCGAATGCCGGACAGCTTTGTATTCGAAAATGTGCCCCTGTTTGAAACAGACGCGGTGGCTCGAACAGAATTTTCAGCTTATCTGGCAGCGTTGGACGAGCTCGATACATCTTATCAGCCGCTCGAGTTTTGGAGCAGAACATCTTCTCGGTTCCCGACGCTTTCGAAGATAGCTCTCACTTGCTTAAGTGTCCCAGTCGATAGTGTGGCCGCCGAAAGATCTTTTAGTCAGTATTCAGATGTACTCCGACGATCGTCGATCCATCAAAGATGACAACCTGTCGATGTACAATCTTCTATACCAAAACGCCGGTAAATCACTATGAATCTGTGATGAACCACCCGCTCGGTTGCTGCCGAAATATCATACTTCAGGGACTCACAAGACACCCTCTCGCCACGGATAAACCTTATGCTTATGAATGAATTGATGGAATCGGAACGGATTTGTCTCTTCTCCGATCGAGACCGCTGTTCTCAACCCCGAGAACGAATGTTGTGATGAATAAAATGGCGCCGTGGTCACTACCCATCAATCGAAAAATGGATGAGCGCGTCTTCATTAGGAACCATTTAACCGTTCAGCGAAATGGTTCGAAGATATGAGGATAGGGGCGGAGGGAGACAAATTAAGACGAGGCAGATCAGAATTATTTTGAGATCCTGAATACCGCGACGGAAACCCGCGACTTCGGTCGCGGTCGCGGCTGCCGCGAAAATTCACGGATTTTGTCGCGGAGGCCCTGAGC